AACCAATTACTTAAAGGTTTAAGAATTTACTCGAGGGCCTCCCTGGTGGCGCAGCGGTTGAGCGCTGGGTTGTGAAGCTGCCCGCAGCCTCTGCAGCGCCGGTTCAATCCCCGGCTGCTCTCTGGCCACCGGAGGAGGGTCCCACATGGCGCGCAGACCTCTCCTGCCACCTGCTGCTCCCCTCAGCAGTGTACTTTGGTCCTTCTGCCTGCTCTGCTCCCCGCTCTGGCTCTGGTGAATTCTCTCACCCTCCCGCGCTTCTGACTGTACCCAGTGCTTGTATAAATAAATAAATAAATCTTTAAAAAAAAAAAAATAAACTGTTTAAAAAAAAAAAAAATTTTACTCGAACCACCAGTCCCCAAACTCAAAGACAGATCTCATTAGTCCACTTCAATTTTCAGCACTCAGTGTCCCCAGCACTCTAACCCTGTTGTCCCCGCCTTCTCTTGATATGCAAGTTCTCAAGACACCACCATCTGTCTGGTCATATAAGCTGAGGTTCGTAGCCCTCTGGGTTTGTAGCCCTCTGGGTTTGTCTATGAATAGATTTTAGAGAAGCTGATAAATTTCCTTAGATTTTATGGAAAACTCATGTCTGTAATCGATGTGATCAGAAATATTAGGGACTGCTAACTCTAAAAGGAGAGCCAAGGAAAGCCTGCCCACCACCACCTCACCCCTTGCCACTCACCTAGATGCCTACCAGCAGGGATTCCTGGCGAGAGAGACCCCCTTCCCGACTGCTCAGCCCAGTTCTGCAGGTCCAATCAAGCAAATCTCCCTCTCCTTCACACGGGAAGTTTCCCGCCGCCCCAACTTTTTGCGAGCTGTCATTCCCAACACAGAAGGGAGAGCCGCCAAGACACGGAGTGCGGAAGGACCACCAGGTCAGGACCGCCCCTAGAGCCGCCTCCGCGATCCTGATCCCTAGAAGCAAACGGAAGCCGCTTCCCTGCACGGGAAGGTTATCGGTAGCCACAGCCATACAGTCGCGCAGACTGCCTAGGCTCCACTCTCCGGGGGCCGAAATGTAAAAGACAGAGCACCTTTTCTCACCCCCTGGACCTCAGGATCTAAAGTTGACAGTGAGTTTTAAAGCAGCTTCACTGAAGTGCAACACCACATTGTCCAGTGGCTGAAATTTTAATAGGGCATTCAGAAAGGTATAGATAGGTGCCCCACTTTCAACATATTTAAAAATCTATGAATAGCAAACCACTGAGCAATTAAAAAAAACTGTCTTTGCCTAAATTATGGGACCAATAAAGAGACCTATGCAAACAGCACAAGAATCTATGGGAACGGTGAGAAGGGATAAACCTCTGAGACTGCTGCCCTACAGTGAAATGTTACAATGCTGAACGATTAAATCAGAAAAAACCATTACACTCTACCCAAGTCCTTAGGGAAAATGGAGTAGGAAGGTCATCTACCCTCTGTAAAATCAGGACGACAACTCACCTTCACCCACTTCTACATTACTATTATTCCTAAACTCTTCCATGTATAGTGAAGAATGGACATGCCACATATTGAGCTTCCTACTTTAGCTTAGGTCAATCTTTGACTCATTAAAATGCAAAGCTAAGTTTTAACAGTTGCTTGGTAAGCTACTCTAGGAGCAGCTCCTTGATAAAAAGCAGAGAGGGAAAAGGACATTAGATCTAGAAGCTAGGGGGCAAAGTACAAAAAATAAGATACACAGCTGCATTTACTAACATTAATATTCACTGATACTACAACTTAGAAATTGATGAAGGCTTACAATTTCTGATGCCAAGCAAACAAATGCTGAGAGTAAAAAATGATTTCTCAGATAAATTCCTAGGAGATTAAAAAGTATTAGAATTCAGAGTCCAGAAATTAATCCACACTTTTATGGACAATTAATCTGCTACAAATGAGCCAAGAGTACATGCCATGGTGAAAGGGAAGTCTTTTCAACAAATGGTGTTGGGAAAAGTGGACAGCCATATGCAAAATAGAAAAAAATAAACCAGGCCACTCTCTCAAACCACACACAGAATTAACTCAAAATGGATTAAAAACCTGGATGTAAGACCTGAAATCATAAAATACACAGCAGAAAACATAGGGAAAACACTCTGAGACATTGGCTTCAGTAATGTCTTTGGGGACTGATTGCAAGGGAGAGAAAAGCAAAAATAAACACATGGGATTATATCTAAATAGAAATTTTCTTCACAGTGAAAAAAAAAAGCAATGATTAAGATAACCTGAAAAATTGGAGAACGTATTTGTAAATCATACATCTGACAAGAGGCTAACATCCAAGATCTACAAAGAACTCATACATCTCAACAAAAAGAAAACAACCCAATCAAAAAATGGGCAGAAGAGTTAAATAGACACTACCCCAAAGAAGACATACAGATGGCCAAAAGACACATGGAAAAGATCCAGTACTATCAGGAAAATGCATATCAAAACCACAGTGAATACTACCTCACTCTAGTGAGAATGGCACATATCAAAAAGACAGAAACAAGCATTAGTGAGGATGCAGAGAAAAAAGAACCCTCGTACTCTGTTGGCGGGAATGTAAACTGGTCCAGTCCCTATGGAAAATAAGATGAAGTTTCCTCAAAGTATCAAAAATTGATATACCATATGATCCAACAATTCCACTTCTTGATATTTATCCAAAGAATGCAAAAACACTAATTAGAAGAGATAAACGCTCTATATTCACTGTAGCACTATTTACAATACCCAAGGCATTGACTCACTCTAAGAGCCTAAGGACTAGTGAAAAAATAAAGACGTGGTGTATATATATATATACATAATGGGATACTACTCTAGTAAAAAAAAAAAAAAAAAGATGAAATTTTGTCATTTGCACCAACATGGATGGAACTGGAGGGGAAGTAAGTCAAAAGGAGAAAGAAAGAAAGAAAGTGAAAAGGAGAAAGAAAAATACCAGATGATTTCACGTGTATGTCAAATATAAAGAAACAAAACAAAGGAACAAACAAAACAAAATAAACACTAGAAATGAGATGGCAGAAGTGAGGCTAATGCGGGGGCTGGGGGTGGTTCCCAACAGACCACCCTGTGGAGGATTATTGGGGTTCTGGTGTTGGCTATGGTGTGGTAACATATGTTAAAAGGTATGAACCCAGTTCCCTAAATTATATTCAGTACTGTAAACTAATGAACGAATGTCATCACAATACCTTTTAAAAAAATTTTTAAGGTATCGGGTACAGTAGAAAATTCACTATTGAAAGCAAGATTTGGAAAAAAATAACTCAGAAATAAAAAAAAAAAATGTTTAAATAGAAGTTTGAAAGATAGTAAAAATTCTATGTCACAAGCAAAACATGAAAAAAACCATGAAAGATAAAAGATACAGAAGATTATCAGAAGATACACATTCTGCACTTCTAGCATCTAACAGAAAATTCAGGAAAAAATATCAAATAATATAAAAATATCTGCATCCCCCTCCTCCCAAGGCTAGGAAAGGATGAGCTGCATAGCATTACAAGTAATGACCCAATCAAAAGGCCCACTCATTATAAAATTTAAGAACACCCAACATCTTTTGGGATTCATGATTCTACAAATAGCAACTTTGAGTCTAGAAAGGCAGTAATACGGTGGAAAAGGCATGTTTCTTGTCTCAGAAAGAAAAAAAACAATCTACAAGACAAGCATTGTTCAAAAGGAGCATGATCCAAAATTAAAGCAAACTGGTATGTGGAATGGCTTTAATCAGTTTTCATTTGCACTAATTTTCATAATTTTCCTGCATGGAAACACAAGCAGAAGTGAAAGAAATTTAAAAATAATAAAGGAAAGATAATCAAGATTGTTAATTAGTTCATCAGCAAACAGTATTTATAAAGGTACAATGTAAATACTATCTACTTATTTCCAATTTTGAAATCACCTGTAGATATAACAAGGGAGAGTTTACAGTTACAAAACGTTACTTTTAGAATATAAATGTACAGTTTAGATGTTACAGTATAAGAAACTATCCTAGAAGGAAGGAGATCTCAAAGTATTTCAAAGTTACCAAGGAACTGTAAGTGAGGCAAGATAAATCCTTACCTATCATACAGAAAAACAGAAGTCAAAATTAGGTGAGACAAAAAATATATGATTGTAACCACAGAAATGGTTAAAGGCAGTTGATTCTGGGATGTGGACTAACAATATGAAAAGGAAAAGCAGGAGAATTCTGCTGCCAACTATTTTTAACTTTTCTATTGCATTTTATTTCTAAGGATGTGTATAGCTGTGACTTCGGTATTTTTAAATCATTCAAATCTATACTTAAAAATAAGGAAAGTAATTGAACATAAGAATAGTTACAGTTGGTTTATAATGTTAGTGGGATTATGCATGATTTTCTTTCCTTTTTTACAATTGAGTCAGTAATACTATTATGGTGGTTTTACAAATCAAGCAAATTCAGAAAAATTTTCAAATCAGGGAAACTATGACCAAAAAGCTCTGTGAGAAAAATGAAAAAAAAAAGGGGGAAGAAATAGCCTATATTTTTTGTAAATAAAGCAAACAGGTAAGTAAGATATGTAGTCCAAATAACAATACACCTTCATTCACTTAGACTTCCCCAGAAGTGAGATTACAAGTGATATATTTCCCATACTTTTATTAGATGAAGTTCCCTTTTTGAGTTGTCTATTCTTTGCACATTAATCTGTTACTCCTACATTTCCACATGTAAAGAAGTACACACTGATAATTCACTGTAGTCACAGTAACATGTTTCCTTATATGATGTTTACTCCTCATATATAAGCAACTAATCCTTTTGTAATCAAAGGTAATCAGATTGTTAATTGATTCATGTTAATTGTTTTTTTTCATGTTAATTGTTTTCTTCATGATTTCTGTCCTTTGAGCTTAAAGTCAACTCTCACTCCCAATTCAAAGTTTTAAATTAAAAAATTTAAAATTTAAATTTTTTTTATTATTCACATGGGATTTTCAATATGGCATGAGGGTAGGCATATAACTAGATATCCTAATAATATCTGTTTAATACTCCTTTTCTTTCATGTGTGATGCCTCATTTATTAACTAAACCAAACTCCTATAACAAGATATATGTTAGGGACATCTTACTTTGAATTTTGAAGTGAAAAATTACATACACAAAAATCTGATAATCTTTGCATCCCTAAATATTTATGTCTCACTTTTTTTTAATGTCTTAATGTTTTGGTTCATTCAACAATTTATTAGGAACTTCTTACATTCTGGTCATAGAGAATTCAAGCTATATAGTGGTGAATGAAATAAAGACAGGATTCTTTCCCTCATCAATAAAATATAAAAGATTAATTATGGCAAGAGTGAACAGATTTTTTTTTGCTGATATAATTTGAATTCAAAGAATGATTTTCATTACCACATCTGTGTATTAATGTATATTACACAATATTTAATTTACATCAACAGTTTTGTTCACTTCACTGGTTTCACAAGATGCGACAAAACGAAGTTTCAAAAAGGGTTGAGTATTACTATGTGTGACAAAAAAAAATTTCAAAAGCTTTGAAAAAGTTAGGGGGGAAGGTGCTTCAGAAGGTTTATTTTCAAAAAAGATCTATCTACTATACATACAAACACTTGTTATGACATTGAATACAGAGCTCACATTGTAACATTTAACCATGTTCATCACATATCTGATGATTTAAAATAAAAATCATCTTAAAAGGCTTATGTCTTTCACTGCTTGCTTCATGAAAATTATGTCATTATAATAGTATACTATTGCTTTCAATACTTCTTTATAGGTGAAAACAAGCTCCAATAACCTCTAACCAAAAGTGTATCAGGTCCTATTATTTGTTATAGGATCAATAAAAAGTATGTTAAGACTTTTCTTAGGCACAATTTATGTCTAAAACCCCTGAAGAACACACTAGAAATAAGCAAGACATTTAGAATGCTTTAATCTTTCCAGTAACTGCATCGCTGTAACTTTTAGCATTTCACATAACTCGTCAGTAAGGGTTTTTTTGAAGGGTGGGAGTAAGAACAGAAGAACAGGAGATAGGATAGCATAAGGTTTCACACTTCTGTTAAAAACTCAAAAATCAAAACTATTTTCTTCTCTGCATCAAAACTGTACAACAAACTTGAAGGTTGTTTTTGTTTTAATCCCACGACTCATCATCTACTGGATTGGGAGCTTGTGAAGAAGAAAACCCTGCTGTGTTCAAAGTGCTCTTGCTCTGGTAATTCTTTAAAAGAAAGAAAGAAACATTTAATTTTATGGAAATTTAACGTTATACTACCTAGACAGAGCACAGGAAATCAAGCTTTCCAACCATGTCCTCCCTAAATATATAAAGAACTTCATTCTCACTAAATCCAATTCATTTGAAAAAGGCCATGTCAACCTGGAAAATCTAAATTGTACAAAATATTTCCAGAAGAAACCTTTTTAAAGCCAACAGTTTTTACAAATAGAAAAAATTACAATCCTACACATGAGTGAGCATAAATATTTAATGATTTATATGCTCGCTGTTTCTGTATAATAGTAGTACTAACACAGCAAACAAAAAATGCAACTCATATCTCAGGTTATTTTATTTATTGAAGTGGTTGGAATTCCAAAAATATAGAATTCCAACACAAGGTTCAGAAGATTCCAAATTAGCTTTTTTGTGTGCCAAATTAAAATTTAATGTGTCAGCAATTTAGGGAAAGGAAGATGTTTAAGAATAAATCTGTTTACTCCTCATCTTTAGAACTAAAAATATGTACATAAAATTTCAGAGAAGTATTATTTATCTTTAGACACTATATAATGATTTAAATACATTATTGAATGTTAAGCAAAATATTTACAAGGTAACTGGAAGCAAAATTCTTAATTTTTACACTCAACCAACCTTTCTAGTATCAACTGATGCAAACACATTTCCTCTTGTACTACCACTGAAGCCAGGGACATATGTACTAAAGGCAATTTCTTCCAACCACGCAGGAACATCCTGTTGAGCCTTTAGGAAAAAAAATTGACTTTATATACAACATGCATAAATAAAGTTTCAAAGATTGGAATAGTTTACTTTTCTTGAATTTATGCATAAAATGTCTACTTTTAATTAGAACACTATCCATTCAGTTTTAAAATTTTTAAACTTACATCTGATAGTACTTTCACTAGAGGTTGTGCTAAATGGCTATCTGAGTCAGGATCGAAAAAGGAAATAGCTCTGCCAGTATTTCCACAACGACCAGTACGCCCAATTCGATGAACATATTCATCAATGGTAGACGGAAGATCAAAGTTGATAACATGTTGAACATTTTCAATATCTAGCCCTCTGGCAGCTACTGAAGTAGCAACAAGAACTGGACACTTTCCACAACGAAAATCTCCAAGCGCTTGCTCTCTCTCTCTCTGCTCCCGATCACTTGAAAGAAAAAGTATTATTAGGACCGTTTTTAAGAAAATTAAAGAGAATTACTGAAGTTCAACATATTTTTTTTCATAAAAATAATAGCATTTGACATTAAGGTCTTACTTATAACATCCAAGCCATCATTTTATTTAATTTTCACAATAATACTCTGAGATTGTAACTATTCCTATTTGTAGATATGTCACGGTAACAGCTAATGCATAAAACCAAAGTACAAAGTCAAGGATGACTAATGTCACATCTAATCTATTAATAAACAGTATCTATTAATAATATCTTTCTAGCCTGAAAAAAAATTATACCTTATTAGAATGCTTCTTCAAAAAACAGATTTTTTTAAAAAAATTTATAACCTCAGAATTCTACATATTCAGTGATTATAGATCCACTAATAAAAGTGCCAATGAAGTTGTGTTAATAGGATATTTTTAAGTACTCCAGTTAAAAAAAAAAGTCAGGCATTAGAAAGATTAGATTCAGGGCCTCCCCAGTGGCGCAGCGGTTGAGCGCTGGGTTGCGAAGCTGCCCGCGGCCTCTGCGGCGCTGGTTCGATCCCCGGCTGCTCCCCGGCCACCAGAGGAGGGTCCCACATGGCGCGCAGACCTCTCCTGCCACCCGCTGCTCCCCTCAGCAGTGTACTTCGGTGCTTCTGCCTGCTCTGCTCCCCGCTCTGGTTCTGGTGAATTCTCTCACCCTCCTGCGCTTCTGACTGTACCCAGTGCATGTATAAACAAAAAACTAAACAAACAAATAAATAAATAAATAAAAACATGCCTCTATAAAAAAAAAAGTTTAAAAAAAAAAAAGAAAGAAAGATTAGATTCAGCAAAGAAAAACTTAAATCTAAAGATCTAAGTCTTAAGCAGATGTCTTAATAAATTTTCACTCCTCATGATGAGGAGTCTGAGACAGGACCTTTAATAACCCATCTCTGTCACTTAGTACTTATAAAACTTGAAGATGGAGAAGAACAGTTTAGGTCTTCAAAATTCTGAATTCGAATCCTAGGATTTTATCATATTAGTTATATATGCTGATGTTTCTGAACAAATGACAAACAAAAGTCACCCCCTTCTATGAAATAATCTACTCACCCATGAATACTTGTAGTTGATATTTTTTCTTGACAAAGAAAAGTGGCAATAAAATCTGCTTTTTTCTTAGTTTCAACAAAGACCATAGTTCTTTCATCACCTACAAGACAATGAAATATTGATTAATTTTCAAATTAGAAAATTAGGAAAAGGAAAAAAAGAGGGATTGGAGAATAAGAAATTATCTCATCTATCATTATATTCCCAGCAACCAGACATGGGCCCCGTAATAGAATTCAGATATTTCCTGGATGAATGAATGTCAAATATAAAGAGTCAAGAACTATTTTCCCACTTTACAGACTGAAAAAAAAAGTTTGTTATTTTTCCCTCAGGTCAACAACCTGAAATAGACTTAGGTGCTAACTCTAAGAAGTTTTTAAGTTTGTCTCAGGTTCTTCATTCCTGTTCTCTAAATTACTGCCTTTGCAACTTGATGTCCCAAAACAATCCTGTCTTTTATTTGTCTTGATTGCCCCAGGTATTCATAAAAATGACATCTAACCCAGGGCTGACAAATCCCTCAATAGTCTAAGTTCCAATACTATTTTTTAATTCAAACTTCTTTATCTGCAAAGTATCATAAATTAAATAACTTTACCCTAAGGTCTTCACCAGTAAAAAGATTATTTACTTGTTAGCTGAAATATCTAATTAGCAGAAACTCAAGAATGAATCAGAGATTTTTTTCCCAAAAAGTAATTTCCCTATAAAATGTCAGAGATGATAATTTATACCCTTAATGGAAGAAGACTGTATTACTATTTATAATCAACTTCCCCCCTCCCCTTTTCTTCGCTCATTATTGGAACCTTGACATTCAAACTGAAATTTAATTATTACGTTGGAAGAGGGGTGGGGATGTTTTCCAACACACATGGAGGTAACAAGAAGGTATAAAAAGAACAATACCAGAAATTTCAATTTCCAGGTATAAACTAAGGCTATATAAATCAAAGACAGACAGATGATTTTCTTTAAAAATAAACGTTGTTTCTTTTGGGGGGAGAAGGAGAAGGACAAAATTCTTATTGGTATGAAGAAGCAGAACTAGAGCTTTAAAAGTTTTAAAGCTTTTAAACTTATAAAGCTTTCTAGCTTTAAAAATCTTTGAATCCATAATTATAGGAGTCTGAAGAAGCAAAAACTAGGAACTAGAAATATAAGAATTCACTTTCAATGTCAAAGTTTAATGTAAAGATTGCTGTAAGTCTATTTTAATCAAATACTGTTAAATTAAGTTTCAAATCCTTCCTATTTTTAGCCTTCATGGAAGAAAAAGGACTGTACTATGACATATACACAGAAAATTTAATCACAAACCTTTTATAAAAAACTTTGGCAAAAGAGAAAACAATCAAAACAAACTTATTAAAACTCATAACAAAGGATAAATTTAATTATTTTTTAAAAATCAAAATCATGACAAAAATAAATACATCAATATAAGATACCTATGTTTCGTAGAATTTCAACAAGTTTTTCTCTTTTTGAGTACTGGCCAACTTGGAGAATCGTCTGCAGAACATCTCTACATGCTCCACCCACTTGTCCAACAGCAACAAACAAATAGCTCGACTTTAAAAACTCCCCAGCCAACCTTAAAAGACAAAAGCATATTCCTTAACTGAATCTTTTCCATTAAATCTCCTGATATTCACTGAATTCCTATTAAGTGTTATAATCTAATTGGTTATAAGTTATAAGGTGGATACTTATTATCATCCAAGTATTATTTTCAAAGACCAATATAAAATGTTAATATTTTGAAAAATACATTAATACTAGTGAATTCATAGTAATGAGGTTGTGTCAAATTATTAATACAGTAATAGCTGTCTGGGCACTTCAGGCTCTCTCTGGCCAAGGACCAGCAGGCAGGAAGAAGAGTCCACATCCTAGCAGGAGTGTGTCATCTTCAGAGCAGAATTCACCAGACCATATGATATTCAAATATTTGTCAACAATTAATACATGAATTTTCTACCAAAGGTCCAATTCTTCCAAGCTCTATAATTTTGGTTTGAAGAAAAGACACAATTATAAAAAATAACTTCACTTAGTAAGGATATATTAAATCCTAGTTAGGTGCTATGCTGTAACAACATAGATACATTTTCATAAAATGTGATGCTAATTCTAAGCCAGAAATAGAGATACAAAACACTGGAAAATATCAAACTTTTTAGGAATACATGACTTCTTCAAGCACCTATGCTAAAATCTTTAAAAAAACAAAAACAGGGCCTCCCCGGTGGCGCAGCAGTTGAGCGCTGGGTTGCGAAGCTGCCCACAGCCTCTGCAGTGCCAGTTTGATCCCCGGCTGCTCCCCGGCCACCAGAGGAGGGTCCCACATGGCGCGCAGACCTCTCCTGCCGCCCGCTGCTCCCCTCAGCAGTGTACTTTGGTCCTTCTGTCTGCTCTGCTCCCCACTCTGGCTCTGGTGAATTCTCTCACCCTCCCGCGCTTCTGACTGTACCCAGTGCTTGTATAAATAAATAAATAAATAAATAAATAAATAATAAAAATAAATCTAAAAAACAAAAACAAAATCTCTCAAAAACAGGACATTCACACATTGGTTTTCTTCCCATAAAAACACTTATACACATAACAATTATATTTAGGAAGAACAAAATTACCTTTGAATTTCTTCTGGAAAAGTTGCACTAAACATAAGGGTCTGACGCTGTTCCCTTGTTGGCATTCCTGGGCAGGAAATTAACTTCTTCATTTCTGGTCCAAAACCCATATCTAGCATGCGATCAGCTTCATCCAAAACTAAGTATTTAACTTGTTTAAGACCAATCTTTCAAGATGTTTTCAAGGATTAGAACAGAAAATACGCACACTAGTTACTATATTTAACTAAAATGGAATTTAATATTTTACTTAGAAAATACTATTAATACTATTGCTGTTTATTTCAATTCTCAATTCTATGTTTTAATATTTTATAAGACTAAAAGAAACCTATATCAACACTACACAATACAACCTTCTGCAATTACTTAGAAAACTAAAATTTCTACATATCTGCAATAACATACTAGTAACCAGTTACATGTACTTAAGCATATGAAATGTGGCCAGTGTGCCTGAAAAACTAAATTTATTATTTTTAAATTTAAATAGACACAAGTTGTTAGTACTTACTGTATTAGCATGTATCTAGATTATGTTAAAGTCAAACTCTTTAGTATAAGAAATAAAATTCTGGGCCTCCCCGGTGGCGCAGCGGTTGAGCGCTGGGTTACGAAGCTGCCCGCAGCCTCTGCAACGCCGGTTCGATCCCCAGCTGCTCCCCGGCCACCGGAGGAGGGTCCCACATGGCGCGCAGACCTCTCCTGCCGCCCGCTGCTCCCCTCAGCAGTGTACTTCGGTCCTTCTGCCTGCTCTGCTCCCCGCTCTGGCTCTGGTGAATCCTCTCACCCTCCCGCGCTTCTGACTGTACCCAGTGCTTGTATAAATAAATAAATAAATAAATAAATAAATAAATAAATAAATAAATAAATAAATCTTTAAAAAAAAAAAAAAAAAAAGAAATAAAATTCTCCAACAGCATGACATATTCAAAAGTTTTATATTTGGCAAATTTATTTCTAATTCTCTTAAACCTTTCATAAATTCTCCATCTTATACTCAGGAACAACTGAGAAACTTTTTACATTTACATAAACACATTCTATAAAAAGCATATATTTGCAAAATAAGCATAAGTGATTTTGTTACTACTGTGGAAGCAGTTTAGTAAGAAGTTAAGGTGGATTTCTCTGGATACTGTTAATAAGTATACTAAGAAAAGTGCTTTTATGCAAAAAAAGCGTCTTCTGAGTAACCTATTTATTAAACAAGCTAAAAAAGCAAATCAGGTTCATGAAAGTGAACTTAAAGTTCACAGATAAATATATGATATGTGACTACCTAAAATAAATACATAACCCTAAAATATTTTTTAAAGAGGTAGAAAATTAACAATCCTGGTTTGTATCAATACCATGTTTGAGCAGGAGACAAAACAGATGCTACAAACGGCTTTCATCCAGGAAAAACAAACTTATTAGATAAAAGCACTTTTTGTGTTTTTCTCCCAGTAGTAGGTATAGGTTAGGATCCTGGAATCAGACCTAGTTCTAACTCTAGTTGTATCACTTACCAGAGCTACCTGAGGGATTTTAAATAGGGTTACCTAGTTTGTTTTCCCAAATATAAAATGGAAAACATAAAATATCATTTATCTCCTATTGGGATTAGTTTAAGAATTACTTAAGACCACATTCAAAAATCTTTTGGGGACCTAATAAAAATGTTGCTTTAACAACTGTACCCTTATGCTATTCTTTCCCTTTCCCAAACAAAAAGAATTCTTAATTTTGTAACAAAGTTATTCCTCTAGGGCTTACCTTTTCCTTCCCTATGATATCCATCAGTCTTCCAGGAGTTGCACATAATACATTACAGCCCTGTACTATTTGTCGAATTGAATGCCCCAACTGGGTTCCCCCATATATAACAACAGCTCTTACACAAGTCCTATTAACAAAAGAAATGTCATTTTCTAGTTATTTGGAAATTATATATTTGCTTTTAATAAGCTGCAAAACCAATATATTCAATAAAAAACAAACTAAATTCTATGCAGGAAGAAACTGAAAAATGAAAAAAGCATTTAAAACAAATTTTTGCACCCTATTTAATAAAGAGTTCTGCAAAAACAATACCAGTGCCCCCATGCAAAAACAGGCCTAAAATACGAACAAAAGATCCATTAAAAGAACAAAATGGATTTTAAATATTTTTAAAAAGTTAAATAGTACTTTAAAAAAAGGAGAAAATGAAGACTAACACAAAGTTTTCTCTCAGGTATAATAATATTTTAGTCAGGTGGAGGCAAACCAACACTTAGGAGAGTAAATCAACACAACCCATTTCACAAGCTTAGTACTGATCAAAAATTTTAAACTTTTTAATATTTCACATATTTTTTACATATTTTTTAAAAATAATAAAAAACTATTCCAATAAACTCACATCTAGGAATTTACCATCTAGCTATGGCATCACAAGTGGACAAAAATGATTGTACAATAATACTCACTGGCAGTATTTTCACTATCAACAGACAGAAAACTAAGTGTTCAACAATACAAGATTTTAATTATAGTGTACAAAGTCAAGATTACTATGCATTATAAAACATAAGGGATTTAGGGCCTCTCTGGGTGGCCTATGTATTAAGTCTCACTGCTATCACTGCTATGGCCTGACTTTGATTCCCAGCCAGGGAGCTAACACACATATGGTGCAGCAGAACTCTCCTGTCTCACTTGCTGCTCCCCTTAGCCATGTATTTCAGTAAATCTGTTCTGCTCCCTACTCTGTCTCTGGTGAGACCTCTCACCCTCCACTCCCACCCTCCTGGCCTGCACCTCAGTTCTACGGGGGGAAAAAAAAGTAAGGGATATAGTTGTACAGTACACATTACTGCCAGCATACACCTTCTTTTAAAATAGGGTAACAATAGCACAATATGCTATCGATTGTCAAAAGAATGACTAAAGAGCAAACAGGTGCACCAGCTATTTCTAAAGAAAAATCTCTGAAGAAAAACTTTTGTGAGTTGGATTCCAGATATACTTACCCAAAAGAAAATTTTCTGGCTTCCAAATAGATCTGATTGATCAATTCTCGAGTTGGTGCTACAATAATACATTCTGGCTCCTGTAGCTCTTTAAAACGACTAGCAGTTATTCCATCACGCATCATATGAGCCAAAATTGGCAAGAGGAAAGCAGCCTAGAAGTTAAATTCTACAATTCACAAATTTACAATGCATCATCTTCTCCTTTTGAATCTATTCCTCATTCCCTTATAGTCTTTAGATACCATTTCCATCTTGCTTGAAAATTTAAGAAAGGAAAATAATGTTCATTTATTAAAAATTCATTCAATAAGTTTTTGACCTCTAGGTCTTTGTGCTCAAATTATGCAATGTAATTGTTCAATAAAAACATTTTTTTTAATTTTTTATAAGGGATACCCATGGATGCTAGATAAATCAAAAACATACAGGGGGATGCAGATATAAGTTGATGCAAATCACTGCAGTTAACAGTTGTTTAAATGAGTCCTTTAAGAATAGTGTAAGATAATCCCTTAGAATGCACACCAAAAGTGGTTCATGTGCAGAGCAAAAACTGGGAAATCATGACCATCATTTGTATTACTAAACACATCACCCACACTGAAATTTCATGTAGCAAGAGAAATGCTGTGCTATAGTTTTCTCATTAAGTGAATAAAATAGCAAAATCTACCTCCAAAACCAGGTTTAAGTTACTTACTCACCTACTTTCCCCTCAATTCTACTATGAAGGCTGATTAAAACTAAAACAGTATGAACCAAGATTCCATGACCCTGACTTACTTCATGGGACCTTTTTAATATTAATCCTGCAGATTAATCCTAAAACCAACTTGGTCTCATTGTAACAGGGTGGTCCCAAGGAAAGGGGGAGGTTCCAGGTTCCCTGCCCCACCCAAGGGAGGATGGAGCTGAGCAGGAAGAGAAGAAGCTGCAGAGGAGACTGAGGAAGGAAGCAGAATGGAGCCAGAAGGAGACCTGGAGCAGGCACATGGAGCCTAGAGACACGTGAAGAAACCGCTTGTCTTTTGGTCGTGGACTGGGTGATACAGATGTGGGTGAGACCCGTGGGGAGGTGACAATGGCAGCTTTTATCTTGATTTTGATTTTGCTCTTTTCCTTCCAGGCTTGTCTGGTTGTTTCTGACCCTTTTCTGTGGGTCCCCACTGGAAGATGCTTTGGACTTGTGGCAGGCTTTGGGGCCTTGCTCTGGGCCAATCCCATTTGGATGGAGTTTTACCCACGAGGGGACGGGTAACTTTGGGTGCTTGATTTAGAAACTAGATTCTTTGCCTTTCCTGTATTGTTTCCTAATTGTATTAAGGTTCCTTCCCATTAAAGTCTCATGTTTTGTGTTAATGCGGCAGATAGCAGAACCCTATATAAAATAGGCAGGTTTGTGGGGTTTGGGCTGCCCCTCTCCCTGCCCTGTAACATCATCAGAGTTTTTCTAGAATTAGCATGGTTCATATTATGAACCAGGTGCAAAACATATAGCTTTTGTCATTCTTTTGACTCCAAAATTATGTCAGTTATATTGCATAAATTACTTTCTTCCTTTCTCTGTGTTCGTAACCCTCATTTTGTTTTAAATACCTGCATGTTAGAAAAGTGATTAAACATTTATGAACTGCAACCATCACTCTAGAATCAGCTCAAAATCTTTCTTCAGAAGTACACGAACACAAATAAGAACAGAAACTAGATGCAAAAACAAATACTTAAATGATAAATATGTATATGACAGTTCATTGAAATCATCTTAAAACCTATCCAACAAAAAATTTTCAAGCTTCCTGGGAAGAACCAAAGTTGAAAAAACATAGCAATTTGAATATGGGGCAGAAAACATGTGGGAAGATGACTTACAGTTTTTCCAGACCCTGTCTGAGCACAAGCCATTAAATCTCGTCCTGCTAGTATAATAGGAATACTGTATTTCTGCACTGGAGTGAGTTTAGTATAACCAGCTTTAGCAATGTTGTTATTAAGTGTCTGACAGAGATTAGCTTCTTCAAAAGTCTGGGGGGAGGAGGAAAGAAACAGCATATGAAGATCATTCCATAACATTTCATTGAGTTTTTCTACTCTTTATCTTGAAGTTACTTTCCCCAATTTGATGTCCCCCTTTAAAAGTAATATCCAAAGACTGTATAAATTACTTACTAGAAGTAAGGACTATACCTACAGACAGTGGTTCTAAAAAATTTCTTTTTACCCTCTTAAAACTTAAGAGAAACAAAGAACTCTGATTAGGTAACAATGGCTCATTATCAACAAAGGGCTCCCCTAGCTCCTTAGAAAATCACTCCCCTAAAACACACTTTCGCACACATTTAGTAAGTAGAAATCTTGAATCTTTAGGAAAAGTATCCTTTTTAGTAAATTTAAATAATGTTCTCATCCTGCTTTCAACGTAGCAATTAACTCTACTGTAGATTGTTCTAAATTTCTAACCTATCAGATATTAGAGGTGAAATTTCTGTATCCTTTAATATCACCTAAAAGAAAGGTACTATGTATATATTAAAGCCAAAATTTGTTACACGATCAACACAAAAATAACTGTTACACTGACCAGAATTGCTGGTGGTGCATCATGCCCAGACACTTCTACAAGAATAGTATCATATTTATCAAAGTTTATGCCTGTCTGATAATGTGCAAAGATGGAGTCCTCATCCTCAGGCGGAGGAGGTGGTATGTAGGTCACTTTTGGTCCTTGGAATTTAAATAAAAAAAGAATTTACATTACAAGGACAAGAAGAAAAATAAGAGAAAATATACAAAACTGACAAAATCAATTTTAAATATTGTAAAACTTTCCATTGTTTACTATTAAAGTTCTCACTTCAAATAAACTGTTTTTAAATATTTTGTATTTTTATTAAAATGAACTATACACTAATGTGTACCTCACAAAATTAATATACCTTGAGTGTCACCACTTTCTCCTCCTTCAGCTTCTGACTTCCAAGAATCTTAAAGGGAATCAAACCCAAAAAAGAGATGAATGTTTTTTCAAAAATCAGGAGGTAAAAAACCACTCATTATAAAAATCCAATACCTTATCTAAGTAAAACTTACTCTTTCCAGAGCTTGTTATTACTTCTTCATTTAAACCTTTGTAACCACCTATTAAAGAAAACCAGTAGTGACAATCAGTTAAGATTCAAGGCTGTGCACACATACTTTTATTCTCATTGCTTGTCTTCAAAGAGGACAAATTCTAAAACTGGATAGACATCTTTAGTGGCCCTTTGTCCAAATAATACTCGAGACAACTAAGATAAATGGAATATTGAACATTTTGTTTCCTTAGTATTCAAAATGCTGAAATTCTACAGATGACAGTGTTCTATATTACTATTTTTAAAGGTGTTATATCTCTTTCCTAATTCCCGTATTCCTCAACAAGGAATATATTTCCTAAAAGGAACTACAGTCCTAAAAGGAACTGTATTGGGGTGTCCCCAATACCACCCCCAGGTTCTATAATTTACTAGGTTTTATAGGACTCCGAACATAATTGTACTTATGGCTATAGTGTATTATGTAGTTAAAAAGATCAGAAGCAAGATAAACTAAAGGAATGGCACATGGGGAAAGTCCACAGAAAAACCAGGCACAAGCTTTCAAGACTCCTCTCCCACTGGTATCACACAAGACACATTTATTTTACCAGCAACGAGCTATGACAATTCACTGCAAATTTTATCTACCAGGGAAGCTCATCAGAGCTCATCAATATTCAAGGTGCTTATTAGGGGTCATTAACGTAAAGCCCCTTCTGCCTGGCACATACCAAAATTCTGTACTCCCAGAAGAAAAGCAGGTATTCAGCTAAAACCAACCACAATACCGTATAGTTTTAGGCACAGCGAGTCACTCTTACCAGTTAGAGCCATAGGAACCCTCCTGAAATCCAATTCCCAGATGCCAGACAAGGGCCAACCATGTAAGCAGGATTTTCAAAGAATAGTAGCTAGGCCTCTGTTAACTCTTTTCTATATGCTACCTTTTTGATTTTTAAACAACTAGTCATATATTATGCCGTGTCAGGTTCTATTCACAAAACAGAATAAGGACTGCATTAGATTTGAAAAACTAACCACATAGAACATTTTTACCATTTGAACTAATTTCCTTGCCTTGTGTGCCCACAGATCTTGAAATCTTTTTCAAACAAGATGTGAGTATTTGTGGAAATTGTGGCTTAGCTAATCATTAATAATCTCTTTCTATAGTGATGAATCCAAGAATAATGGCAGGGGGTAGGCGATGAGGCAGTTTAAGGGAGTGGTTGCTTTGAATACTCTTAGACAATAATGATGACTTTACTGATTTACTAGTTTGGAAAGCATTTTAATTTTTATGTGGTGTATGAGTACTTATAACTAAAAATATTTTAGGGTACAAAGTCATACGTAGTAAATATTCTTTATCCTCTATACCAAATAACTAAGAAAAAAACCCTAATATTAATATAGTAAGGATTTATACATACAGGTATATCTCAAGTTTTAATATTTGCATGGTATACCATTTTATGCTTTTTTTTGAAGAATTTTAAGTGATTTTTCAGTGTTTACTTATAATAAGTAAAGGTTTAGCGAACATCCTTACTTACCTATTAAGCAAAAACATTTATAGTACATAATTCTTATAACAGAATTGCTAGATTGATGAGCACAAACTCTTTACAATAGGCTGTAAATGTACTGCTCAGAATGCATTAAAACTGTAATACTTACCTTTCATAACTTAAACTTGTATTACAGTGTGTCAGCTGAATATAGGCAAACCAAGTAACAACTCACCTCGTCCACTTCCACTGCCACTCCTGCTTGGATAGGTGTCACCATTACCTATAAGGCATTTTTCTGTAGATTACTATTTAGAGACAATAAAAACTTCCCCTAAAGCCCATAACCATATACCTATATCTATTCAAGTATTACTTACTCAGGATTTCTAGTCCCTTACTTCAACCATCTATCTTTTAATTTAATTAAATTTTTTTCATCATCTGAACATTTTACTTAAACAGTTCATTTTTTTAAAAAAAAGCAATGTTAGGTTCAAAGCAAAATCAAGGGGAAAGTAGAAATTTCCCATATTCCTGCTGCCCCCCAATCATCTGTACAGCTTCGCCCATTACCAGCATCCCCCCCTAACTAATGAAGCTACATTAACGCAACATAACCACTCAAGATCTATAGTTTACACTAGGGTTCACTCTTGTACATTCTTTGGATTGTACATTCTGTGACTTTGGACAAATGTATGATGACATTTATCCATCATTACAGTATCATACAAAGTATTTCCACTTTCTGAAAAAAATCCTCTATGCCCTATCTATCCAGCACTCTCTCACAGCAACCACTGATCATAGGGTTTAACCCTCTCTGTGTAGTTTTGTCTTACCCAGAATGTCATATAATTGGAATCACACAGTATGTACTCTTCTTAGATTTGTTTCTTTCACTTAGCAATTTGCATTTAAGATTCCACCATCTATTTTCATAGCCTGACAGTTCATCTCTTTTTAATGTTGAATAATATTCCATTGTCTGGATATACCAGTTTATTTATAAACATTTGAACATTTCCATCAACAATTGTATTATTGGGCCTCCCCGGTGGCGCAGCGGTTGAGCGCTGGGTTGCGAAGCTGCCCGCAGCCTCAGCGGCGCCGGTTCAATCCCTGGCTGCTCCCCGGCCACCGGAGGAGGGTCCCACATGGTGCGCAGACCTCTCCTGCCGCCCGCTGCTCCCCTCAGCAGTGTACTTCGGTCCTTCTGCCTGCTCTGCTCCCCGCTCTGGCTCTGGTGAATTCTCTCACCCTCCCGCGCTTCTGACTGTACCCAGTGCATGTATAAACAAAGCAAGCAAACAAACAAATAAATAAAATAAATAACATGCCTCTATAAAAAAAAAAAAAAAAAAAAAAAAAAAAAACAATTGTATTATTTTTTTCATTTTCTCCTCAAATCCCCTCACAGAAGTCTTTGATACCAATGCAAACTTCATAATTCTTCCTACAATTAAAAGTATAATTTAACCTCAAATTAACTGATTGGTAAAAGAAAACAAATCACAGAACACAAATTTTGTAACGGATGCAAAAATTCTAGTATTTTTGCCTACAGATCTTAAAGCAGAGAAAATCATAAGCCAATGTAGTATACTTAACATATATCAATATTACTAATCCTAGAGCTAAATACATTTATGAATGGTTCATATTCAGTAATAAATTTTATTTCTCACCTGCACCACTGAAGACTGATCTTCTAGAACCAAAAAGGCCACCAGTGCGTGGTGTGCTCTCTTCTTGTCCATATTCACTATCTAGATTTGCAGGCAATAAAATAACATTACTTTTAAGACATTTTTAAAGTACTCAATAAAGGGAAAAAAATTGTGTGCATGAGGCTAAAAGATGTGCGGTAAGATAGTTAAATTTAACTGAAGTCATGAGTATTTTTCCTAAATATTGCACAAAGAATTTCTCCATAAATTATTTCTTTCAATTACAAATTACTTTCTCAAAAATTAAAATTTTTCTGTTGAAGATGTTAGGGCCAGTGCTATACCAAAACATGATATAAGCAAATTAAGTCACCTCCAAAAATAAAGTTTCTGCTCCCCAAAATTTCACATGGCATCACCTCATTCTTATTCTCCAGAATAGCATCCCATGCTTCCACTGTTGCCAAATCAAATTTTGAACAACTACTCTTCAAATTCCTACACTTCAAAAATGACAATTCACTAATCTATTACATTTCTATTCAACCATTATTATAAATTTATGTTTTTAGCTTCCAAAGACACTAATTTATCATCTTCCATTAATAGACACATGCAATCCAACATTGAATTGAATACAATACCCTTGCTCCAAAGGACTGACAGCTGGAGGAATTTTAGGGAGGAAGCCACATTCATGGATAAAGCCATATAGAAGGTCATCTGTTTATATGAACAGTGATCATTATCAAGCCTCTAAAATACTTAATAGTATGTAACATTAAAAAACTGAGTCATACAAATATCTAAAAAAATTCACATATTTCAACCTAACAATATGCAATTACATGTGTCTAAAAATTATATAATGTAGGAGATTATGTACCAGTTACTATGCTATTTTCAATTAATTCTCATAACCATGTTATGTGATAGGTAATTTTTTAAATCATTTCCTTCTTAAAAGATGAAGCACACCATTTGCAATCCACTACTAACTTGGACTTCCTAGACCAAATCCTCCACGGCAACCTCGGAAACTACCTCTTCCACCTCTTCTGGTTGATCCTGAAGCTTCAGAATCATTTCCATCTTGATAGCCTATAATATTGAAAACACAAACACAAGAACACCACAAAACACAACAAAATAATCTTAACTTAAGGCTTGTATAATTCAATTACTTTAAATATTTTAAGGCATAAACAGGTACTTACTAAAAAGAAATTCCATATTTGAACTATAAATGTTCCTATTTACTAATACAAATAAATAAGTTATGACCTTTTTTTTTTTAATTAAAGAACTGCTTTCTTTGGGAATCAAAACTAAAAGTAGCTAAAAGGGAGAAGTGTAACTTGTAAGGCACTGAAAGTTTCCACAACTGCACCATTAAGTGGATTGCCACAATCTACAGGATTCATTAAATGTTAGGCTTGTACTTTCTCCCTACAGAAAAGAGGAAACATCTTACCTAAAGGACAGAGAACAGGCACATATAAAGTTTTATTTTCTGTTATAAACATTATATTTCAACTGAACATCAAAAAATCAGCAGAAATAATTCAAGAAAAATTTGATCCCACCTGGGGCAGAAAAAAGATCAATTCAAGGCCAAAAAGCCAACTGGTCAGGAAATAAGGAAATAAATGATACTGTTTTGTTTATAAACTTTTAACTATTTACACCTAAAAAATTTCATCAGTAAAAGTAAAAATTCTAGATGTGACAGTTGTTGATATGGATTTTATGTGTAATACTGTTTGTAAAGTGGGCAGAACAATTCAAAGTAGATTCAGTTATATGTTTATAACCAAAATCTTACTGAGCATGTCACAAACTAGTAATATTCTATTTTTCAATACTTACACCTACTTTACTCTAAATTATTTATGCCTTTATTTAAGAAACTTTGTCAGTTTCTCTCTTTTCCAGAAAAGCTTTTTACCTATCTTACTCTTTTTTTACATATGTTATTTTCATGTATGTATATAAGAAACATGCAAGTTTAAAATACACTAAAATGAAAACCTACAGGCCCCCCATCCAGTTTAAGACTAAAGTGTTCCCAATGCATCACAGTCCATTTGTATCTTTTGCCCTTTATTTTTCTTCTCTCCTTCCCTAAACATCTGTCCCCATCTAACCAGAATCCTAAATTATTCCTTGCTCCTTGTAGTAACAACTACAACCTTTATTGATTTTGAGATTCATATAATGGAAGCATACAGAATATATTCCTCCTTTTGTTTCTTTTATTCATCTTTGCTTTTGTTGATCTGTGAAATGGTACTTCACTTTTACCATTAAATAACTCTTCATTGTTTATTTTCCTGTCATGTCTATCAACTTTTATACTTTCTTCCTTTTTAATTATGTAATTATAGTAAAATCACCAGTTTTTTTTCTAATGACTGCACATAAAAATTTTCCTCTAAAAGCTACTTCTTAACCAGCTTTAACTGTATCCCTTAAGTTTTGATGTGTTGATTTTACTATCATTAAATTCTAAATATTTCATTATTTCTGTATGTATTAAAAAACTGAAAAATTCAGTTTCCAACCATAAAAACTAGGTATTTTATTACTGATTCTACTTATATTACACTTTAACAAGAGAACATAATCTACAATATTAATTCTACAGAATATTTTGGCACTTCTTTTGGTCTCAAGAGATGGTCAAATTGTATATTATTTTCCATATATGCCGGAAATGAATGTGCAATGTATAATTTTTCCAAACAAATATTATACAAGTTTAGTGCTGGTATTCAAATATTCTACAGTCTTACTAATTTTGAGTGACTATTTCTGAGGAAGATTTCAACCTACTGGGTTGAAATTTTTCCTTATGTTTACTTTTGCTTAATATATTTCAAGAATATGTTGCTAGGTTCAAACCATGCTCAGAACTGTTGTCTTGCCAGTGAACAAACATTTTATCATAAGTATTTCTGACATATGTCTGATGTTGTCTCCCATATTTATACCAGATTTTTTCATTACTGGAGTAGCTTTTTTTATATTTTTCAATTTGCCACTGAAATGTGTTTAGAAATAATAATTGCTGACCTATTTTTATTTCTACCACAATACGCTGTGTTTTCTCCTAAGTTTTTTTTAATGCTTTTTGTTCTCCTTTCTTCCTATTAGATTTCTTCAAACACTGTATTTCATTCTGTGTTTTTACTGATATCCTTCAATTTCACCATATTTAAGAAGTAGACATATAACTTTTAACCTTGTCTCCTTCTTCCAAAAGTCTGTCCTTTATTGGATTTCCTCCACTATTATTATGCCAGATTATTTTATTCTTTTCTTGATTATTCTTCAATTTTAACATTATGAAATCCTTAGTTTCAATATATCCTCCTTCCTACTGAGTTGGCAAAGAATGTAATTCTTTTCACTTACTTATTTAGTTCTTTCTTCCTTTTCAAACACCTGAATTAATGATCATTATCATTATTACTAGCCTATCCAGTCCTTTCTTTAGGTTTGCCAATATGTTTATAAACTTAATTTTTATGTATTTTGGTTTATCATTGCTTCCTACTTCTTTCTTCCTGCATTCAGTTTCCGTCTTACTAGTATATATGATTTAGGAGTTCTCCTGCATTTTTAGTTTTCTTTTTTATTAATGTATATGATTTAGGAGTTCTTTCTTCGTTGGTATTAGAGTATTAAATACCTTTGAATGGCATTATTCCTGAAACATAAATAATCTGAATATAGCCATTTGGGTTCAGAGCTATTGTCCCTCAGTATCCCTTATTCTACTATATTATGATCTCTTAAAAAAAAAAAAAAAAGAGTTCCACTATCAATCTACTTCAATTTTTCCTTCCCCCCTTCTCCACTCTCCTCTAGTTTTATCTTTGCATTATAATTTGAATCAGGTGTAAGAGTGTGGATTTGTTTTTAATTTGCTCAAGACTCTTGTACCTCTTAAAATCTGGAAAGGTCTCGTCTATTCTCTTTGAATAGTCTCTTTTTCCTTCTTTGCCTCCTCCCATTTTCTCTGTTCTCTCCTCTGGATATATTTACACATATGTTGGAATAACAGGGCTTCTTAATTCTGTCTTCCATAATTACCTTCAGTTTTGCATTTCCAAATTTAGAATTTCCTCAGATTTTTTTGATTTGTTTATTCATCTATTTGTCCTGTTTAATCCATGTATAATGTTTTAATTATTCTTTTCTGTAACTTCAAATGGGTTCATTTTCAAATCTACCTTTTCTGCATAATCAACAACTATATAATACCTCAATACCTCTGGTATCAATAGTTCAATGAGCAGATAATCAAACTTTTAAATAAACTCACTCTTCTTTTGTCACAGCTGATGAAAACTACAAGTTATATAAGGAGCTTAATAGAGGTAAAGCTAACATATGTAAAATAAAAAATCTGCATGATATTATTAAAGTAGGGACAGAAATTTCATGTATTCCACATGGTCTTAAAAATAATGATCTTTGGGCCTCCCTCAGGCCTAGGGTGGTGCTATCAAGATATCACCAGCCACTGCAGCATGAGTTCGATCCCCAGCCAGAGAGCCAACCCACACGGTGCAGCAGACCTCTCCTGTCTCACCCACTGCTACCCTCAAGCAGTGTATTACAGTAGATCCATCAGTTCTGCTCCCCACTGTCTCTGGTGAATCCTCTCACTCCCCTCCTCCTTTACATCTGGCCTACACCCCAGTTCTTCTACACAAAAATAAACAAACTTAAAAATAATGATCTTTCTTAAACATCTTAAAAGGCAGGAGTGAGACACTACTCATTTTATGTAATTTTTTAAAATGTTGAATGAAAAAGTTGCAAAAGGTAGATATAACATTAAACATTTATAAAATAGGAAGCTCACACCCCAATGTAAAAACAAGTAACTTCTGGGAAGGGGAAATGTAATACAAAGGAACAGGTATTCCAACAATTTTTAAATTTTTTTTTAGTATTTGAAATATGACCAAATACTCCTGTTATATAGTCATATAGGTGTTTGTATTAGAATCCTTTGTGCTTTTCTGAGTTCCTGAAATATTTCAAAATGTATTACTTTAGATGTCACTTTTCATAAAATAACATTAACTTCTTTTTTAAAGGTGTTATCATTCCCTTCATGAATTCTATTCCACATGTCATAAGGGAGAGTTGACAAGCTCTTATAGTTCTTATGTTTACTTTTGCTTAATATATTTCAAGAATATGTTGCTAGGTTCAAACCATGCTCAGAACTGTTGTCTTGCCAGTGAACAAACATTTTATCATAAGTATTTATGTCATATGTCTGATGTTGTCTCCCATATTTATACCAGATTTTTTCATTACTGGAGTAGCTTTTTTTAGTATTATATTATTTATATTATAATATATATAAATATATAAAATATATAAATATATATTATATTTATATATTATATATATATATTATTTATATTATTATTTATATTATATTATTTATATTATTTGGTAACAATCTTCAGAAAATGTGTCCATATGTCACTTAAACTTTGAAAAACAGAAATGTGATCATCTTTTTTATCTTAAAAAAGGTACTTACCAAAATATAGCCAGTTCACTGAAACATCAATATATAAAAGTCAATTATTTGTATATACAAGCAAGAAAAATAAAAACCTTGAAAATATAAGGATCAATGAAATCAGTGAAATGGTAAAGTAAGTTAGTTCAATCTGTTACTCCAAAAGATAGGGACCAAAACTGTCAGAATTAATCTTTTCAAGCTCTGAAAATTAAGCAGACTGTAACAACCTGGGAACATTCACTTAAAAAAAAAAAACAAACTGATTCTCAGTTAAGAACAGTAACTTTGCGGCATATTGTATCTAACCCCAATTCCCCACCCTCTAGCAATTCTACCTTAAGGCATAGACCCAAAAGATAACAGAACAGGGATTCAAACTGATAAATGAATGATCATAGCAGCATTACTCTCAATAGACAAAAGGAGTAAAAAACCCAAGTATGTATCAACAGATGAATGGTTAAATAAAATGTGATATATGTACACATACATATGTGTGTGTTTATTAGAATATTATTCAGTCAAAAAATTGGAGTGAAGTTCTGATGCATGCCATAACAGAGATGAACACTGAACATTAACATGTGAAATTAAACCAGACACCAATGGGCATATATTGTATGATTACATTTACATGACAAATTTAGATGAGGCATATTCAGTCTCTCAGAGACTGAGAAGAAAAAGATATGGGGAGACTTAGTGCTTAATGGATACAGGTTTCTGCTTAGATGATTAAAAGTTTCGACAGAGATGACAGTTGCACAGCCCTTTGGATTTATTTAATACCACTTAAAAACAGTGACAAATTTTTATGTTATAGCTATTTTGTCACAATAAACAAATTAGAGTTCATTTCCCAAGCGCAATTGGAACTATTAATCTACACATCCAAGAAATTTAACAAACTCCAAGCAGGATAAATTAAGAAAGACCAACATCAAATATCAACAAATGGTTCTGGGACCAATATGCAAAAGAATTACAAAAGAATATCAACATGCAAAAGAATTGAGTTGGTCCCAGCCTATACCATATACAAAAATGAACTCAAAATGGATCAAAGACTTAAATGTGAAAGCAAAAACTATAAAATCCTTAGAAACAAACAGATGAAAATCTACACTAAGTATGCAAAGGATTTTCTAGGTAAGACACCAAAAGCACAAGCAACAAAAGAAAAACTAGATAAACTGGATTACATCAAAGTTTTTCAAACTTTTGTGCTTCAAAGGACATTATTAAGACAATCCACAGAAAGGGAGAAAATATCTACAATTCATATATTTGTGATAAGAATGTGGAGAAACTGAAAACCTCATACATTACAGGTGGGTACATAAAATGGTGCAGGTGGTGTAGAAAACATGCTGAGTTCTTCAAAAAGTTGAACATATGAATTACTACAAGACTCAGCAATTCCAAATCTATGACATACTCTGGAGAAATAAAAACATGCTCACACATGTTTATACACATGAATGTGTATAACAGCATATAAATCATACTAGCCCACAAATGGAAACAACCCAATGTCCATCAGCTGTTGAATGTGGTGTATCTATACAATGGAATAGTACCAACCATAAGAAGAATTAAGTATTGTCATATGCAACAACACGATGAACTGTGAAAATAACATGCTAAGTTAAAGTCAGACACAAAAGATCACAAGTTATATAATTTCATTTACATAAAATGTTTGGAACAGGCAAATCCATAGCCATAGAAAGTAGATTAATAGTTGTCAGAGGATGGGGAGAGGGAAGAAATAAGACTAAGCACTAACAGAAACGGGGCTTTTTTGAAGAAAGGGAAATGTTGGGAATTGGTGATTCATACAAAAGAGTGGATGTATTTAAAACCACTAACATATAAACTTTAAAATGGTGATGTTTATGTTATAGGAAATATTAGCTCAATTTTAAAAATGCATCACAAAATACCAAGTACTCAGGTGTAGAAAGGTGTACGAAGACTATCACCAAAATTATGAAACATAAGTAGGAAAACATGAAGACCTAAATAAATGGTATGATTCATAAGTTGGAAGATTTGGTATTATAAAGATGATCATTCTCCTCAAATATTCAATGTAATCCCAATAAGAGTCTGATCAGATTTTTTTCTGGAAACTGATAAACCCAAAGGAATAAGAATAACCCAGGTAATCTTGAAGAAAAACAAACTAGGAATTTACACTACCAGCTATCAGGACTGATTATGAAACTACAGTAATTAGACTACATTACAATGGTACAAAATCAGAGAAACTGACCAATGGAATGGAGTCAAATCTACAGTTTCACATTTATACACAAATTTAGGATAGATATAGGCACTCTTGTAAAGAGGATCCTAGTTCAACTGGACATCCATATTTGGGCAAAAATATATCCTGAGCCCTACTTACACTATATACAAAAATAAATTCAAGTCAATTATAATCTCAATATGGAAGCTAAAAAGATAAAGTTTTGAATGGACAATAGAAGAGAGTATCTTTATGAATTTAGAGAAAGCAAACAGTTCTTGCACAGGACCATAAAAAAGAAAATACTGGCAAATAGGGCTTAATTAAAACAGTAACTTCTATTCACTAAAAGACTCCCTTTGCCACATAATCTATAATGTGACTGACCAAGATTTACACAGTTTCTCTTTTTTACTTTGTGACACATTCTGGAGATCTTGGGGGGGGGCGGAAATCTAGTGACATTAAAAAGTGAGAGGAGGGAATCCTACTGAATTAGTCACTCAGGTATTCACAGCATAAAACATATACAAAGTATCTCATCTAAAGATTTTTACCACCAGATTTTTTTTCTTTCTGCTCTTCGTAATCAGTTTTGTGAGTTTAGTGTCTTAGGTATAAACTGTTCCAAAATGTGGTCCTTACCGCCTCTCTTGGAAAACCCTCTGTTCCGTGTTTGATTATCTTCACAGTCATTATTAGACTCTTGAATAAAAATTTAACATGTAAATAGCATCTAAATAATTAACTTTAAAGAACAGCATTGTTATAAGATGAATAAAAAAAAAATATTTTCTTAGGTTAAAATACGAGCTTTTAAGTCTTAAAATAATTTTAACAGAAATACAAAAATATATTCAGGTATTACTTATAGATCTAAAAAATGAATACTGCATTTATAATTGAGAACACACTATTTGCCAAGTGCTAGACATGAGCCAAAATAAGATTTTCATAAATGTCAGTTTGACTAAAAATGTTTTCAGGAACATCTAAACTATTAGGTAGTCAAGTTATATATTCCATAGACCACTAGAAATACAAGTTTTGTTTTTAAAATGCCATCATCATTTCCCTGTAATTTGCCTTTTTTAATAAATCTGAAACATCAGTGTTTTTAATACATGCAATCTTCCCATACTTATCCTAATGAAAGAATCTGGGGATATTGTGGTTTTCCTATTTTTAATGGTGTTATCAAGCAATATTACCAAAGGCTAAATACAAGCAGTATGAGGATAACTACACTGAAGGTTGCTAATCTGGAAAATTGGTTAAAAATAAATTCTCACAATGCATCTCCAGAGATATTTTGAAAGAGTGGAGTGATATCAAGGAATGAATAATTTTTCAAAGTTAAAAGTGTATTTTACTGAGATGGGCGGAGCAACATGGCGGCGAGGAGACGCTGCGAGTAAGATCTCCCATTAAAAAAAGTGAATAGGGAGGAAAAGCGGCAGGTCCCAGTGAGAACTGGGACACGGAAGATAAACGGACGACTCCAGCAAACTACCCGAAGAAGAAAGTGGCCATAAAAGAGGACTAGAAGGGAGGGAAGCGCAGAACCCTGCTCCCCTCCCCCGCCCACAGAGGCGGCACTCTCCGACCGGCAGAGAGGAGGGAAACAACAAACCAAAACAACCAACAAGAACAAACGACGCAGCAAGCGGGACTGTGCGTGGAAAGGAACTATTGCAGCCACCACACCCCATGAACCGGAGCTGAGGCGAACCCTGCAGGATTCGCCGCGGCGGTGAGCGAACGGCTCCGGGCGCCAATAGAGAAGAACAAAGACCCCGGGAGACGCGCACACAGCCCAGGCTGCCGGTAAGCTGGCGCGGAAACGCAGCGCGCTCGGGGAGCTTGAAAAGCAAGTGCAGACCGGAATCGCGGCTGCCCAGGTACCCGCGCCTGCGACCTAGGCTTGTGGGGAGACGACCTAGGCTTGCGGGGAGACGCGCGGAGGTCCTCACTGAGGTGAAGGTCCCTCCCTGAGTGAGCAGGAACCAGGCACCCGGGCACGGGAGCAGTGCAAAAGGCGCCATTCCCGCGCCACTGAACTGGGCTACAGCCCGCGTCCTGGAACTGAGGGCTTTGAACTGAGACCCGGGGCACGAAAATTCGGGGCGTGGGTTCTCCACGACGGTGGGGCACAAGGCAGACACAGCACCCCAAAGCTGTTGAGGTGTACCCTACCATTCCCGCTCTGCTCCCTGTCCCACGGGGTTGGGGGGACGAAAAACAGCCCCCCAAGGACACTAGGAGAGATCTCTGGCGCCACCTAGTGACCAGGAAAAAGTCACTAACACCCCATAGAACAGGAAATTTCTTAAGACTACTTGAAAAGGGCAGAAGGCTTCTGCAGTGGCCAGCCGGGAAGTTATTCCACGCCAGGCCCCTTCCGACCAGCAGTCTGAGCTCACAGAGGGAGCAGGCACTCACGTCCGGGGCAGACCGGGGGCGCAGAAGAGTGTGCCTGAAACCGGAGGCGCAGGGACTGCATCCCGCTTCGCCATTTGAGAACAGGGACATTTCCTCAGTAAAAACTGCCTAAAACCAGCAGAAAGCTCCCCCAGAAGGCAGAGATGGCTCCTGGAAGAGCCAGAGGGGAGCGGAGAAGTTCACCCAAGATGCCAGTCAGTCCGAGCATCACAGTGTCCCAACGCATACGACAAATTAGAAAACAGACAGTAGGGAGTAGAAGAACCACACGCAACCTAACAACTCCTCAGGAAAGAAGCACACCACAAAAAGAAAACCACTCCCCAGATTGCAACGACAGCAACTTGGAAGAACTTCTGAGCCTTCCAGAAAGAGAATTTAAAATTGCCATGATTAAAAAAGTGATAGATCAGAAGAAGGAAATTGAGTCCCTAAAGAGGGAAAACAATGGTCAGAAGAATGAAATTGAGTCCCTAAAGAGGGAAGTAAAAGAAATGCAGGAGATCAAAGAATTAATGGAGGAACTAAAGAACTCCGGGAAAAGCAAGGAAAGCAGAATAGATGAAATGGAAGAACGAATAAGTTCTCTTGAAGACACAGAAATAAAAAGAACCAAAACAGAAAAGGAAAGAGAAGTACGAAGGAAAAAGAATGAAGAAAGACTTCGGGAACTATCTGACTCCATGAGGAAAGGAAATATAAGAGTTATAGGAATTCCAGAAGGAGAGGAGAGAGATGTAGGAACAGAGAAAATATTCCAGGAGATAATTGAAGAGAACTTCCCAAATGCGAAGAAGGAGCTGAAAATTGATATACAAGAAGCAAGAAGAACACCAAACTTCCACGACGAAAGGAAAAACACAGCAAGACACATAATAGTAAAGCTCCCAAGAATCCAGGACAAGGAAAAAATAATGAAGCTGACAAGAGGAAAGAAACAGATAACATTCAAAGGAAAACCAATCAGGCTGACATCAGACTTCTCTGAAGAAACACTACGGGCAAGGAGAGAGTGGAGGGACATAGTCAACAGACTCCAAGAAAACAGATGCCAACCAAGAATACTCTATCCCGCAAAGCTCTCTTTCCTCCATGAAGAAAGAATATGGACCTTCCCAGACAAGAGAAACTCCGGAATTTCATTACGAATAAACCCCCACTCCAAAAAATACTACAAGGAATCCTAAAGCCAGAACCACAGAGGGACGAATAACAACGAAAGAAGACCAAAAAAAAAAAAAAAAGTTATTAAAAGAATAAATAAAATCAAAGGAAAGACAAACATAATGGCAAATACAGATGCTAACATATCAATATTAACTCTAAATGTAAATGGACTAAACTCTTCAATAAAAAGACACAGAGTGGCAGCCTGGATTAAGAAACAAAACCCAACCTTTTGCTGTCTCCAGGAAACACATTTAGCTACAAAAGATAAAAATAGGCTCAAAGTCAAAGGATGGAAAACAATCCTACAAGCAAATGGGCCAAAAAAGAAAGCAGGAACAGCTATACTTATATCAGATAAAACAGACTTCAAACTCAAAAAAATAAAAGAGACCCAATGGTCACTACATTATGATTAAGGGGACAATACTTCAAGAAGAAATAACACTCATTAACATATACTCACCAAACGAAAGAGCACCAAAATATATCAGACAACTGTTGTCCTCTCTGAAAACAGACATCAGAGAAAACACATACGTAGTGGGAGACTTCAACACACCACTATCAACAATGGATAGATCAACAAGACAAAAAATAAGTAAAGAAACTAAAGCTCTAAATAAGGACCTAGAGCATTTGGGCTTAACAGACATCTATAGAACACTAAACCCAAAAAAAACGGAGTACACATTTTTCTCAAGCGCACACGGATCATTCTCCAGGATCGATCACATACTGGGGCACAAGACAAACATCAACAGATACACCAAGATTGAAATCATACCAACCATCTTTTCTGACCACGAAGGCATCAAACTAGAAATAAATCATAAAAGAAGGCAAGGAAACTATCCTACCTCATGGAGATTAAAAGCCACACTACTGGAAGACCACTGGACTAACGAGGAGATCAAAGAAGAAATTAAAAAATTCTTTGAATTGAATGACAAGGAGGACACCAATATCCTAAATGTATGGGATGCAGCAAAAGCAGTAATAAGAGGAAAATATATAGCAATAGAAGCTCACATCAAAAACAAGAACTCAAAGAAACAACCTAATCTCGAAGCTCAAAGATCTAGAAAAAGAACAACAAAAAAACCCCAAATCCAGTAGAAGAAAAGAAATAATAAAAACCAAAGCAGAAATAAATGAAATTGAAACTAAAAAAACAATCCAAAAGATCAATGAAACCAAGAGCTGGTTCTTTGAAAAAATAAATAAAATAGACAAACCCCTAGCCAGGCTCACAAAGGAAAAAGGGAGAAAGCACAAATACACAGGATCATAAATGAAAGAGGAGAAATCACAACGGACACAGCAGAAATCAAAAGAATAATCAGTAACTACTATGAACAGTTATATGGAAACAAGTTCAAAAATCTAGAGGAGATGGACAAATTCCTACAACTCTACAATCACCCAAAGCTAGATAAAGAAGAAATAGAACACCTAAACAGACCAATTACAAGCAGCGAAATTGAAATGGTAATCAAAAACCTCCCCAAAAACAAAAGCCCAGGACCTGATGGATTTACAAATGAATTCTACCAAACATTCAGAGACGAATTAGTGCCTATCCTTCACAAACTCTTCCAAAAAATTGAGAAGGAAGGGACAATACCAAACACGTTCTATGAAGCCAATATTACACTAATACCAAAACCGAATAAGGACAACACAAAAAAGGAAAACTATAGGCCAATCTCCCTAATGAACACTGATGCAAAAATCCTCAATAAAATTTTAGCTATCAGAATCCAACAATGTATCCATAAGATAATTCACCACGACCAAGTTGGATTCATTCCAGGGGCACAAGGATGGTTTAACATCCGAAAATCAATCAACGTTATCCAACACATCAACAAAAAGAAATATAAAAACCATATGATAATATCAATAGATGCTGAGAAAGCTTTCGACAAAGTGCAACACCCATTCATGATAAAAGCCCTTGAAATTCTTGGGATACAAGGAACATACCTCAACATCATAAAGGCCATCTATGACAAGCCAACAGCCAGTATCATTCTCAATGGTGAAAAGCTGAAAGCAATTCCATTAAGATCTGGAACAAGACAAGGATGTCCACTCTCACCACTGCTTTTCAATATAATACTGGAAGTCCTAGCCAGAGCAATAAGACAAGAGAAAGACATCCAAGGAATCCAAATAGGAAAAGAAGAAGTCAAACTATCACTCTTTGCAGATGATATGATAATATACATAGAGAACCCCAAAATCTCCACAGAAAAACTAATTCAACTCATCGGTCAGTTCAGTAAAGTGGCAGGATACAAAATCAACATGCAAAAGTCAGTAGCCTTCCTATACACAAACAATAAATCTGAAGAAGAAGAAATCAAAAAAAACCACCCCTTTTATTATTGAAACAAAAAAATCAAATATTGGGAATAAATCTAACAAAAGAGGTAAAGGACCTATACAAAGAAAACTATAAAACACTGTTAAAAGAAATAGAAGAAGACACAAAGAAATGGAAAGACATCCCCTGCTCATGGATTGGAAGAATAAACATTATTAAAATGGCCATCCTACCAAAAGCAATATACAGATTCAATGCTATTCCAATCAAAATCTCAATGGCATTCTTCAAAGAAATAGAACAATTATTGATGAAATTCATATGGAATCACCAAAAACCCCGAATAGCCAAAGCTCTACTGAAAAAAAAAGAAGGAAATGGAGGCATCAAACTCCCAGACTTCAAACTATACTACAAAGCCATAATCATCAAAACTGCATGGTATTGGAACAAGAACAGACATACAGACCAAAGGAATCGAATAGAAAATCCAGAAATAAACCCACAGATTTATGGTCAACTAATCTTTGACAAAGGAGCAAAGACTATGCATTGGAGCAAAGAAAGTTTGTTCAATAAATGGTGCTGGGAAAACTGGGTCGCTACATGCAAAAGAATGAAGCTTGACCACTACCTCACACCATACACAAAAATCAACTCAAAATGGATTAAAGAACTAGACATAAGACCTGAAACCATAAAATACATAGAAGGAAATATAGGCGAAACACTACGGGATTTGCACATCAAAGACATCTTTACAGACACATCACCCAAAGCAGTGATAGTGAAGGCAAAGATAAACAGCTGGGACTACATCAAATTAAAGAGCTTCTGCACAGCAAAAGAGACAATAACAAAAGCAAAGAGAAACCCCACCAACTGGGAGAACATTTTTGCACCCAACACTAATGATAAAGGACTGATCACAAAAAATCTGCAAAGAGCTGATGAGACTCAGCAACAACAAAGAAAATAATCCAGTCAAAAAATGGGCAGAAGAGCTAAAAAGAAACTTCTCTGAAGAGGAAATGCAAATGGCCAACAGACATATGAAAAAATGTTCAACATCACTTGCAATCAGGGAAATGCAAATCAAAACTACCATGAGATACCATCTCACACCAGTGAGAATGGCACATATTAAAAAAACTAGCAACAACAAATGTTGGCGAGGATGTGGAGAAAAAGGAACTCTTCTGCACTGTTGGTGGGAGTGCAAACTGGTCCAACCACTATGGAGAGCTGTGTGGAGATTTCTGGACCTACTAAACATAGAGCTTCCATATGATCCAGCAATTCCACTCCTAGGTATTTACCCAAAGGACACAGAAACATCAATTCCAAAGAGCACCTGCACCCCTATGTTTATAGCAGCACTGTTTACAATAGCTAAGCTTTGGAAACAACCCAAATGCCCAAAAGTAGATGACTGGATCAAGAAGATGTGGTACATATATACCATGGAATATTACTCAGCATTCAAAAAAGATAAACACATGCAATTTGCAGCAACATGGATGGCGCTGGAAGGGATCATGCTCAGCGAAATAAGCCAGAAAGAAAAGAAAAATACCGGATGGTCTCACTCATAGCAGGAATCTAGAAAACTTAAATAAGGGACCAGGAAAATGAATATAAGAAAGTGAAAATCAAAATCAACAAAAAACTATGAACCAGAGACACTTTTTGGGGGGTGGGGGGCGGGAGGGGAAGGATTGGGGTCAGAATGGGGCGTTTGCAATTGTATGGGGGAATATAAAAATAAAATTTAAGATTAAAAAAAAAAAGTGTATTTTACTGATACAACTTTAGTTATAGTAATAACTAAACTTTCTAGAAGATTACAACAAAGCCACATATGGGAAATATAGTGGGTTACAGGGTTTTTGTTTTTAACATGTCATTATTGTTTAACATTTTAGAATTTTAAGTCACAGTGATGACATATAATGGCTAAACAGCTTACCAAGCTATTAAGTTCCTTTGCAAAAGTACTAACCTACATAACAAATAATACTGTTTTACTATAAAAAATAACCAAGAGCTCTTGCTGCAGACTCCTATTTGAAATGAAGTCAACAAGTACCAAACATATCTAAGAGTCTTCTAACATCAAGACAACTTTCTTGGAAGCAGAATTTAATGTTATAAGGGAAATTATCAGGAAAGAAAGAATTTTTAAAAGACTGGCTCTGGAACAATGATGTTGGTTACAGGAAAAAAAAAAAGTATGAATTAATTTGAGATCTGGTAAGAAAAATTAAGTCTTACATTGTCTTTGACCAATTATTTCCCTAAAACAAATCTATAGTTATTTTAACCACAATGGGAATTAAAATAAGCTAATGAGAAATTGGCAGACGGAAACCCTATGCACTGGTTTTGCAATTTCTATGAGTCTTTATTTCAAAACAAAAAATTCTTTTTAAAAAGTCTCTGTAGAGTTAGAAATTAAAGCCAAAAGCAAAAATAAGATAATGATCCCAAGATTAGTTACACTACACCCTATTAACTATATAAAAATAGTAATAGTAACACATATCTGTTTGGCACTGTTTTATATGTATTATTTAAATCCTCACAAAATTTTGAAAGCTGGTATTCATTTTGTACACAGAGAAAATTAAATACAGAAATTAAAAACATTTTTCAATGTTACACAACTAACAGGAGAGGAGGATCTGGGTCTTAAACTAGGGTATCCAATTCCAAAACCTGACTTCCTAATCACTACACAGCTAGAGGAAACTAGATTGCAGAGAAAAATAACCACACAACATGCTATCATGGGTGTGCAAAGTTTCTGTCATTATACTAAAACTTGTTCCTGGGTTTGCCAACAATTGTTGAGAATGAAATAATTCAATTCACGCGTGGGTGTTTTAATTATAGGAAAACTAAGAATGATGACAGAGGAAAAGTGGGTCAAAGAGAAGTAGATGGTTTTGGAGAAAGAAGTTCTTTCAAGCGCTGTGCAAACTGGCCTTGGTGTTCAAAAGTACTCTAGCCCACACTGAAAGTAGACAACTGGTAAGGAAGGTCTCTGCTAAATGATTTTGAGTATTAATTAAAGGTTGGAAGATAGGATCAAGTAAAAATGGAAAAGAATAAACATAGTGATGTTTTTCTTCTCTCCAACATTAGCTCTACATTATATGTTTTTAATTTGACTGGGATAGAAGAAAAAGCTGAGACAAGCAAGGTGTTGAGACTGCCAGTATCTTATTTGATATATTAAAAACCACCTTTTTCCAAAAGCATTTTAAAGTGATGAGGTTTAGAATTGGTTTTCATTTTGAGACTCAACTAACAGTGTAAGATCAAGTCTCAAATATTTAATGAAGATAGATGGCATCTACTGTTTACCATGATCATATCTGGCACTAAGTTTTGTGCTTTTTTATATAATTTTCACGTAGTCTACCTACAATCCATAAAATGGATGGTTCTCCATTCTACAGAATAGGAAACTGAATTGGAGAAATTACATCAATTTGCTCTAAGTCATTCAACTGGAAGACAGCAGAGCTATGATATGTAACAAAGTGTATTACACTGAAAAGAATCCATAAGTTACCAAAAAATTGAACTTACCTTTCCAGAAACCTGAACTATCACCTTCTTCAAACTTGTTATTTGAAAAACCTATGTAAAACATAATTTGAAAATATATGAAAGTAACAATTACCTGTAACTGTGGCTAAAAATCAAAACAAAACCTCATCAGGACAACTAGTTATGATGCTTTAAATAAGATAAACTACATACATCTATACATATAAATACTAAATGAGAGTTCATAGAAGCAGCATTATAATTTCTCCCTTGTGTCAGGTTATTAAGGTTAAAACGTCAACCAATCTTATGTTACCTCAGAAGTCGTATAGTCCTACAATATGTACATGGACACAACAGGGTACATGAAGTATAACCACCGTATACTTTCTATTCAAATTTTAATTAGAATATACCAAATTTTAAAATTTTATAAATTAACACAATCTCTTCATCCACTGGAGAAAACAACTAATTATAATCCAACATTCAATTATTTTTTTCTTCTCAGTGACAAATTCTGCCAACTTTTTGCTAACAGAATTTTAAAAAAACCTTTATCAAGTTATGCTTTAAAATTTCTCTTTAGGGCCTCCCTGGTGGTGCAAGGGCTTAAGATGCAACCTATCAAGCTATCCACAGCCAGCCTCTGCAGCACAAGTTCCATCCCCAGCTAGCCAGGGAGCAATCCAGATGGCACAGCAGACCTCTCCTGACTTGCCCACTGCTCCCCTCAGCAGTGTACTTCAGTCAATCTGCCCATTCTGCTCCCCACTCTGTCGCTGGTAAATCCTCTCACCACCACCTCCAACACCTCTGGTCTGTACCCCAGCTCTTGTATGCATAAATATTTATAAAAAATTTTTTTAAAAATAAAATTTCTCTTTAACAAAAACCTGTGTCTAGACTTATGAACCTATAGCGCAGACATGTCTCTAAAATTAATTTTAAAAATATTCATCACAAGAGCTAATAAAACTGAAGATAGATGTCTGTCTTTTAGAAAGAAATTAGAAAACATCATTAGAAACAGTTTATATGTTAGAATCAGGTGTGCAATTGGGAGTTTTAAATTTTGAGCATGCTTCACCATTGGTTCTAGTGATGCTATATAGCATAGGAGCTGAGAGTATGGACCAGAGAGACAAATTGATTGGGATCAAATTCACCTCTGCCACTGGCTAGATGACATTGGGCAATTTACTTCAACTATCTCTGTTCCAGATTAATCTTCGAAATTGGGGAGATAATACTATTACTTAAAAGTCTGAGTATTAAATGAGTTAGTACATGTTAAGCACTTAGTATCTAAGTGCTTCATATAGCAAAGACTCAATAAATGTTAGCTGTTATTACTTTAGGAAGGAAGGAGTGAAGAAAGGAGAAGGAGGAAAGAAAAAATAATAGATGATTTCACTCATATGTGGAATATAAAGAAACAAAGCAATGGGAACAAAAAATACAAAGTAAAACAAATCCTTGAAGTTTGACAACAGTTTTGAGGCTACCAGAGGGCAAGGTTAGGGGTAGGGATCAAAGGGTGAAGGGGGCCCAATGTACTATGATGGAGGATACTTGGGGCTCTACTGGTGGGCATGGAGTGGTAATATTCATCTGAAAAGGTGTGCACCTATACTTCTAAATCATATTCAGTGTTAAATATTGTAACATCAATAAAAATAAACAAAAAAGAATTCATCAGTAATAAGCCATAAAAATTTTAAATATGGAGTCTTAATAAAATGATCTTTAGTGCAAATATATAGTGGGAATATATGCCTTAAAATTCAATGTCAATGTAGGATGCCTATCAGGTAGTATTTAGCCCAAACGATTAAGTATAAATTGCACTGAATTATGACTTCTTTAATATAGGACTAATTACCTACTATTTTTGACAGGTGCCAAATTTGTATGCAAAATGTACACATATTAACTCACTTAACATCCAAGGTTCAACAAAATCTAACGTCTCTTCTATTACAAAACTCCATGGAAATGGAATACAAAATTAGCATATGGAAGCAAGTGTTCTATGGTCTTGATATTGATTGGATGACAAAAAAATCTCCCTTGAGTATATATATAATTTCAAAATAAAGTTAATCCCTACAGAAGAGTATAATCACAAACTTAAGTGTTGGGTTTCCAAAATGCTTGGGAAGATCTTCCATTGACACACTAGTACACTTGATCTTAATGAAACTCTACCCAAGTTCTGATCTACAGAACTTTTTTCTTTTAAGAGAAAAAAACAATTTCAAAGCTTCTACTGGTTCTTTATTCCACTACCAATGAAAATTCAGATTCATCTTTGGAAGTATAAAATTGTTCTCTCATTTGGGGAGATAAGGGAACGGTCTTGTGTAAAAAACAAACAACAACAAAAAACCCACACAACTGGAGTTCACCTGTGGGTTAAATCAACTTGAAGACAGGTAGCATGGCAATTAAAAAAAAAAAAAAAAAAAGCTAAATGGAACAGCAGTCACACCCAAAGCAGCATAAACTGCTATAAACCATGACTAGGAAAGTGAAAACATTTCCTTGTGATTCTATAGAAAGACACATACTTTCTAAAGATCTTAAAGGGAATATAAACTCAAAGACTAAAGACTTGGGGTGACTCATGTTCTGATTGTAAAATATCCTAAGCAGGTTACCTCTGTTTCCAAAACCCTTTCCAACTCCAAAGCCACCCTTTGTGGATGTATTCTTTTTTATTAGACTTGCCAGCATCTGAAAAAGTTCAGATAGAGTAAACTCTTTTAACATATAAAATTGTGTCATGAAAAATATGGAAATACAGAAAAATAAGGAAATTTTTTTAATAAGTTAATTTTTTAAATTAAAAAACTAGGAATTAAATGAACCTTTGGGATAAGGGGTTCCCAAGGATGAGCAGTGAGTAGTATAGAAGCTTACAATTTAAACAGACATAATCTACCTGTAACTTCTTTTTTCAAACTCTTAAATTATAATACCAAGGTAAAAACATAAAAAAAAAAAAACTGGTGGTGAAATACAGCTTTCTACTAGTTATTTTACTAGTGACCTTTAATCAACTATGATTTTCTGTATACTGAAACCCAAGCCTCACCCTCATAGAACAGTTATTTACACTGTGCCCCTGTGCGAATCATTGCTACTGAAAATTTTATACCTTTGTCCTAATTAACTTTCTCAATCTTTCCACTTTCAAAATTAAAACTAGGGATCATATACTAAAAAATAAAGCTACCACTCCCTTCATTCACCTTGTCACCCTTCCATAGTATTTCCCTCTATCAGCCTTCTTAGCTTTCATCTCCCAGTACATAACTCTGAAAACCCGAACATTTTTTTGTTGTTGTTGGATGGTATCATCTTATTTTCAATTTTTTGAGTCATCATCATACAGTGTTCTAAAGTGGCTGCATCATGTTTAACATTTATACTAAGAATGCACTAGGTTTCCCTTTTGTCCTCATCTTCACCAAAACTTATATTTCACTTGTATTTTTTTAATAAGTTAAATAATTTATTCATTTTAACTGAGGTAATATTAGGGTGCCCCCAGCAGATATCACCACCATAGTGCACTCACCACCAACTCACCCATATTCCACCACCACAGACCACTGTGCTTCCTTCCCTCTTTGTTCTTTCCCTCCCCCGACCCCTCCCCATATTGGTATTTCAGTCTATAGTCAATTACCAAGGGTTACTATTCCAGCTTGTCTTTATTAGACTCTTAATTTAGTTATTTTATATTACGAATATTAGTGACACCATCTGATATGTATCTTTCTCCTTCTGACTTCTTTCACTTAACATTATCCTTTCAAGTTCCATCCATGTTGCTGCAAATAGCATGAGAGTTTATCTTTTTTGATTGCAGATTGGTATTCCATTGTGTATGTATACCACATCCTCTTGATCCACTCATGTGTTCTGGGGAATTTAGGTTGTTTTCATAGTTTAGCTATAATAAGTAGTGCTTTGAGACACCTCCACACTGCTTTCCATAGGGCTGAACCAGTTTGCATTCCTACAAGCAGCGTAGGAGTGTTCCCTTTATTCCACATCCTCATCAGCATGGGTTTCTGGTCTTTTTGGCCATTCTCACAGGTGTGAGATGATATCTCATTGTGGTCTTGATTTACTTTTCTTTAAGTGATTGTGAACATTTTTTCATGTGTGTGCTGCCCATTTTAATGTCTTCTTTGCATAGGTATCTATTTAGTTCTTTTGCTCATTTTCTGATTGGGTTATCGTTTTGTTTTTGTAGCGTTTTATGAGTTTTATGTATATCTTTGGTATCTATCCTTACCTGGATATCAGATATTCTCCCATTCAGTAGACACCAACATTTTAATTCAAACACCAAACAACTTCCCATACTCACACATTGTGAATATCTAATATTTTTACCTTCCTACATACAATTCCTTCAGCAAAGCATTCCCTGTTTTCCTGTCAAAATTCTTTTTACTCTTCAAAAGTTCAGTTCAAAGGTCATCTAGTCTATAAAATCTTCCTGAAGTTTTCAGTCATAATAAAGCCATCCTCCACTTTTCTGCAGGATACTATGTATCTTTTTAGTAATATTTCTTTCCATGTGTTTCTCTGCCACTAGATTAAAAATTTTGAGGGCAGAGATGCTATGACAAAGAAAACGTTTTTAAAAAAATAAAATCAAACTGGAATACAATTCCAAAAAGGCATAAACTGCCACTTTATCACTGGGAAAAATATTAAAGCATTATCTTGTGATCGTCAAGCTGTCTTCTATATCTCTGTAATAGCCTAAATACAACCGTTAATGAACTGTGAAATTCTTAAAGCCACATGCAAAATTGTATATAACTATTTTCATCACATCCTGAAAACATGTGATTCAAGAAGTTCAGACTGTTTAGGTCATACCTCACAGAACATGGAAAGTTATTATTTTTTATTATATTTCAAGCAATTAAGAGAGAATATCAAAAACACATTACTAGCTATACAAGTTCTGAAAAAATACAGAAATTGAAACTAAAATATTAGATGAGTCATAAGCCAAAGAAATTATACTCATGGCTCTATGAATTTCTGGAATGATATGTACTATAAATATAACTTTTTAAAAGTATTAACATTCAAGAGAGTTTTGATTGGAAGTTTAATGTGTATTTCATAGAAATAATAATTTGTAATAAAATCTGTCACTTCAATGGTTTTCTCATCTAAAAAGGCTTTATTCAACAATGTTTAGAAGTCTCAATTAAAAAGTAACACATAAGCTATTCTAAGACAGGGCTTAAACATATTCCTGAATGTAATAGTAACGTATTATTTCTAATGTTAGTACCAGCAAACAAAATGGACACTTAAACCTCTTAGTAAACCATTACATGATTCGTCAATGCATATAATTGCTATACATGTTATTACCATTAGTAACAAGAACATGTCAAAGTACAATATTCACATGTGTTAATTACATCTAAACAAGCAATTAAGCTCCCCAAGTTTCAATGAAATATACTACACATCAACTTTAAGTTTCCAATGCATAGAAATATCTAGAAATAGCAATTAAGTTTTTCAAAGATTAACATAATAAATTCAAGACTGTTATGTGTATTTAAAACTGCTGATTAGTCCTAGTTTATGGCATCCCGTAAAAGAAAATGGATTTCAAAATAATATTAATTTGATATCTCAATAATGCTTTATCACACCATAATAACACATATTTAACTTATATGAAATAGTATAAAATATTTCAGCATTTTAATAGTTTTTGAGAAATAAAATATTAAGAAAAATTTCTCATCCTAATCTCTGAATGCTTTTACAAATACTGTTCTCAGGCCAACTTTGGAAATCATTAATCATAAACACATTTAGTACCCCTGATTACTGTGATCATTTTACCAAATATACAGCTAAGAAAAATGTCCTATGTCATTTATATTTCAATAGCATCCACCTACTATTGCTATTTCTAATTAAAAAAATAACAGCCACAAAGATAAACTTCTTTTTGAATTCCTTAGGTTTTAAACAAGAAAATAACCAAAATAAATTACTGGCCATTAAAAAAATGGTGCTGTGAAGCAATTATTTTTAACTTCTATAGCTAATCAATTTAACTATTTCCTACTATACTATAAACAAGTATGAAACAGCAAAGAAACACTGACATTTGATAAAATTATTCAAAGTCCAATGTACACTGAACTACAACAGATTAAGCCTTGCTTAAAACTTCCACAACACTATCCATTCTATTCAAAGTTGAGAATAAGGCAAAGTAACTTACCTCTGGTACCCAAACTCCGCCCAGTGGCAAACCCACTTCTCATGAAATGATCTCTTCGAGAAGGTCCGTCATCTATTTCTAAAGCAAGTAACATTTGTCAGTTAAAATAACAAATAATCTTGGTGATATATAAATTTGAATCTTTTCATATGCCACCTATGTGACAAAGAAGTAATTTATAGAAAAAAAAGGGAAACAGACCTAAAAAAATGGGCTATCAATAAGAATAGGTAGTTCTAAATTAAATAAATGGTGATGAAATCTCACTCATAACTAAAGTAATTGTAATTCAAAAGCAGGAGACAGCATTTTTCAATCACATGACTGGCTGAAATATTAAAGTTTGCCAAAGCCAAGACCTATAATACAACTTTAAAACTGGATCAGCCCTGAGCTTAATTAAAAAAAAAAACATGGGTTTTGAAGATATGAATGTCTCCTCTGGATATACTCACAAAATAACAGATAGATATAATAATGTTTTGATAAGTATGAAAATTAATATACAGAAATCTTAAATGAGGTCAGGAGGCTAGAAAAGACTTCTCACAAACAGGCAATCTGCAGACTACATGAAGTGACGTTGCCTTGCAGAAGTGATGAGCTTCTCTGCTCCAGCAAGTTCCTCCTTGCTGAGCAACAGTTCCATCAATGACAGAATGTCATAAACCAAGTACTAAGCAGCCGCCACACACAGAACTCTCATTTTCGTCCAATGAACTCTTTGGTTCTAACAGTCCCTCTAAAATCTGTATAAGTTGGGGGACTCCCCTGGTGGCAGAAGGCGGTTGAGCGCCATGCTGTGAGGCTGTCTGCAGCCTCTGCAGTGCCGGTTCGATCCCGGCCAGCTGGCCGGCGAGAGGCCCACATGGCGTGGCAGACCTCTCCTGTCTAGCCCACTGCTCCCCTCAGCAGTGTATTTCATCAGTCTGCCTGTTCTGCTCCCCGCTCTATCTCTGGTGAATCCTCTCACCCTCTTGTGCATCTGGCCTGTACCCCAGTTCTTGTATAAATAAATAAATCTTAAAAAAAAAAAGAAATTCTCAGCACTGTAGGCAATTTAAAAAAAATAAATAAAATCTATGTAAGTTGGTGTAGGCTTTTGTTCTAAGGAAGGAAATGTGCATGTGTCACACTCTAATAGTGAACTTTCCAGACTACTTTTTTTGTTGTTGTTGTTTCCAAATAAATACAGTTTGTTGGTGAAATAACTGATTTTTGCTTGAAATCAACCTAAGCATTGTCAGTAATAGCAAAAAGAAAAAAAAAACATTTATCAAAGGTGAATAGGTAAACTATAGTCATCCAGGGAATATTGTAATATTGTGCTCTCTCTCTCTCTCTAACACACACACACGCACATATTGTAGGAGTAGGAACAGGGCCACAGTGCAGGTTTTCTATGACCCTATGCAGACGGGTGAAGGAGAGTGAGTCCTGGAGCCCTCAGTGGCTTTTGCAAGCTTTTACTGGGATTTACCAAGTACACAGCAGGCAGGGGTACTGGGCTGGCAGGCCCCCCAGCCCCCAGCAAGTCTTCACTCTTTCTGGGCTCTCTCTCCTCCTCTGCTCTCAGCTTCTCTGCTGGCGTCCCAGTGATGCCACCCTTAAAAGCCCAGTCTTAGCCCAGATGAATCCCATCTACCTATGCCCACACCCTACTCCAGGTGCCTGCCATGAGGCATGCATTCAGGACCGCAGGGTTCCGTCATCTATCCTAATGGCAGGAGGTCAGAAAAGCCTGATACTTTTTCCTTACCCTACACACACATTGGTGAAGGAAATTCTATGGGGACTACACCTGGGAGGGGAGGAAACAAACAGTGTTTAAAAATGAACAATGATGTACAAAATATATAAATAAATATAAAAAAATTTAAAAATAAAATAAAACTTTAACACAAAAAAAGAAACACAGAAGTATCCTATACTCAAGTGAGGTTTCTGTTCATGCTTGCCAAGATTTCTTCCATCTTTTGCATTCATATTATTTGGTCACTATTGATCTTTTTTCTCCTTCATCTCCAACCATTTTACATAATTCTTCACCTGATTCATTTTGTACCTAAGATGCAAGTGGTAGATGTCCATTTGGTTACTACAGTCTCTAGATGTACACTTTCCCTATTTCTATAGCAAAAACACAGTGACCAAGACAAAAACGCCAAAAATTAAATTATCAGAGAAAGAAGTGTGTGTGGAGGGGCACGTGATTTCACATTATAACACAGAATTTTATATTCTGAAACCTCACTCATATCAAGCAAATTTAAACTTGAGTGAGCCATCTTTTACTAGGCTTATTAGTAAGGAATGATCATTTACAGAGAGCATGCAGGGTTTTGCCTATGATATTGTATCATGCAAACCTTAACCACACTTGGAATTCAGGATGAAAAACTCACATGGTTCTATTCTAAATGACATCTATTTTAATAAACTGTCAAATATGTCTGGAAAGTAAATTCTATATAAAATTTCTTTCCAACAATATAAGACCCTTTAGCCAAGTAAAATTGAAAAATTAGAGTGAATCTAGAACAATACAAAGCACTGTTCCCATCAAAAAAATTCACTCCGGCATACAGTTTTACACTTTACCAAAGGACTTTTATGTACATTATCTCATTTGGTTCTTGTCATTATAACAACCCTTTTAGGAGGTAAGGTTGATATTGACAAGTTAGTGTCTCTTTAGAAAAGATTAAATAAGTGAAAATAGCCATTATATCAGTCTATAAATGACTATGTCTAGAACTCAGAATTTCTATTTCAAAGCAGAGCTAAAGTGTAGCCATTCCGAAAACAATTTAAAGAAATTGAACAGGTAGCAAACATGGAAAACAGAACAAGCTAATATCCAGTAAGAATATTTAAGATTCAATCAATAATAGTTGTAAATTAAGTTAAATTAATTGACAACTAAAACAAGTGGTAAAAGTCAAGATAGCTAATTGTTATCATATGTGCACAAGAAAATTATTGAGTGCATATAGGTACCAGGCACGGTTACATTATGTACATATGTGTGTGTGTGTGTGTATAAACTAACATATTTAATCATCCTAAAATTGAGGTATTTCCCCCATTTTTCAAAGAAGAAAGCAAATAAAGAAAGCAGACAACTTTGTCAGAATTATCCAGTCAGGACAAAGACTAGACTTTTAATATTAAACTAGTTATCAGACTGAAAAGTCTATTTACTGAAATTCTAAATACATTCTCTGTAGTACCTTATATCTCCAAAGGGTAAATCAGAGGGCAGTTCAAAATAATCTTGGAAATGATAACTGGTCAATTTTGAAAATTACAACAGAGAGGGCCTCCCTGGTGGTGCAAGGGGTTAAGACACAACCTATGAAGCTGTCCACAGCCTCTGCAGCACGAGTTCAATCCCCTGGCTGGCCACGGAGCAACCTGTGTGGCACAGCAAACCTCTTCTGACTCGCCCGCTGCTCCCCTCAGCAGTGTGCTTCCGTCATTCTGCCTGTTCTGTTCCCCACTCTGTCTCTGGTAAATCCTCTCACCCCCACACCTCTGTAACCCAATTCTTGTATGCATAAATAAATCTTTTTTAAGAAGTACAACAGAGAATGGACACAATTTTTAAGAATTACAGGAACCAGTATGTGAGATTTTTAAAAAGTTAAAGGCAGAGTCTAAACATGATTCAACAATTAAAATTGTAGAAATGGCCATACTGCCCAAAGTTACAACAGCCATCAAAATACCAAAAACATTCTTCACAAAAATAGGATAATCCTGAAATGTGTGTGCAATGACAAGACCTCTACAAAGGCAATCTTGAGAATAAACAAAGAGCTATGACACTTCTGTATTTCAAACTACACCACAAAATAAAAATAATAAAAACAATATGGTACTGGCACAAAAAGAGACATATTGACCAATGGAACAGAATAGAGCATCCAGAATTAAACTCCATATACAGTTAACTAATATTCCACAAGGGAATCAAGAATACCCACTTGGGGGGGTGCCTCCCTAGTGGCAAGGCGGTTAAGCACTGGGTTTGATCCAGGCCGCCCGGCAAGAATCCCACATGGCGAGGCAGACCTCTCCTGTCTCACCCGCTGTTCCCCTCAGCAGCACATTTCTTCGGTCTGCCTGTTCTGTTCCATGCTCTGTCTCTGGTGAATCCTCTCACCCTCCCGTGCATCTGGCCTGTACCCCGGTTCATGTATAAAAATGAATACATCTTTAAAAAAAAAATACCCACTTGGAAAATGATAGTCTCTTCAAGTAATGGTGCTAGAAAAAAATTGGCAAAACCATTATCTTACCACTAACAAAAATTTTTACACCTATAACAAAATGTATCTTTTGTATCTTACACCACTAACAAAAATTAACTTTATACACTGCTGGTAGGAATATAAATTGGTTCAACCACTATGGAAAACAGTAAGTCAGTCCTATAAAATATTAAAAACAGGTCTACCATCTGATCCAGCAATTCCATTTTGAGGTAGAACCCAAATAAAATGAAAATAGGATTTGGACAAGATATATATGCACACCCATGTTCATCACAATAGCTGAGATATGGTAACAATTCAAATGCCCATCAAGAGATAAATGGATTAAAAATGTTACACATACACACACATATTTAAGGGTATAAATTTGTAACAAGTAGTAAATAAGCCACAGAGATCCATATCAAAAGACCAGTAGTGAGTGTTGGAGAGGGTGTGGAGGTAAGGGAACACCTGTACACTATTGGTGGAGATGAAGACTGATCCAGCACCAGAGGAAACAATATGGAAATACCTCAAAATATTAAAAATAGATCTACATTATAACACTGCAATCCCACTCCAGGTATCTACCCTAAGGACAAAAAAAAACTTTGGGAAGATGAAAATATTCTAGAGGTAGATGGTGGTAATGGTTGCAGAGCAATGTGATTGTAATTAATGCCACTGAACTGTATAGTTAAAATGGTAAATTTTACATAATATGTATTTACAATAATAGAAATTTTGAAAAATAGAAATAGCATCTCAGACTTCCTTGGACTTCAACAAAATAAAAGATCTCCTAACAGTTTAACTACCTAGCTGAATTCCTACCACTTCCATTAATCTTCTCATCCACATCAAACTCCATAAAAGAACCAATTACCTATATAAACAAGTGATGGAGGCAAAACAGTAGCAAGGATACAGGTTCCCTTATCTTGACTGATTTCTCATAATCTCCTAGGATTTTTCCTAAATTAAAAGAAACTTACCCTATCTATCTTATATGACATGTTTGGCTTACCCTGTTACTATGCTGACAGGTCACCATGATTGCAGCCTGCTACAATAACCTTACAGTCCAGCTTACTCCTTTATGTCAGGAACTCTGACAATTACCTAGCAGCCTGAAAGTCATATATAAGAAATAATCAAATCAGAATGAATTCTTACTAGGAAATTTAAAAAAACACCCTCTACAAGATATCTACTAGTCAGCTCATTCACTACATGAAGTCCTTAACCTGAAAAGAGGTTTTTTTTTTTAACCTAAACACATACCTGCTGATGAAGCTGGGGTCCTGTTAAAAGTATCTCCATTTGCTCCAGAAGAATACCTATCCTGGAAGAAGAAAAGACTTCTTTTCTACTTGAATAGGAAGAATGTGTCACTTATTTTACAAATACTACAAAATTTTAACAACTGGGCTTTATTCATAACAAAGTAATTATAGATATTCCTTCATTAATTATTCCAAAACATCTTCAATTTATTATTGTATGCATAACATATCAACATATCACTTAAAACAGCAGTCAGCATTTACATTTTTTGTAAATAAAGTTTTATTGGAAGACAGAAATACCGTTATGCTTCTGTGGTTGCTTTGGCACTGCAACAGGAAAGTTGCAACAGAGAATTGAAGGCCTGCAAAGTCTAAAACATTTATCCGGCCCTCTATGGAAAGAGTTTGCTGATACCTTACTTAAAAGATATATGTGTGTGTGTGTGTGTGTGTGAAAAGCATAATTAAATACAATTATTACAATAAATAAAATCTGACTAAAATATTACATAAATGTAACAATGCCTGCCAGTATGCTATATCGAGTTTAGTATTTTACAGTATAGCAATTCCTCCTTTTTTGTAGTTTTAACTTTCCACAATTTCAGTTACCCATGATCTATAACAATCTGAAAGTATTACATACGAGATTTGAGAGACCACATTTATATTAACTTTCATAGAGTATTTTGTTGTAACTGTTCTACTTCATTATTTTCTTGTTAATCTTGCTAATTTATAAATTAAACTTTATTTTGGGTATTAATATATAGGGAAAAAGGACCCCTTGAACCTAGATTTTGCTTGCCTAACCTTCCTGCTATTGTGCTCCCAGGCTAACTGGAATTCATTGCACTCATTCTTCAGAATTAATGCAGCTCTTTCAGCACCTTCAGAGCTAAAAAAAACTTCAACTCTCTCATACGCCACACACCCAAAGTTCCAGGGAGCTACCAGCTCACCCAAGAAAGAGCAAAGCACCTCAAAATTTATAATCACCAAAGCCCAGGAACAAATGTGCTGCAAATGTTTACCTCCTAGGCCCTAATTTCTATGTATGAAAGCATTTTCAAAATAAAAGTTATTTCCCCATACAGAAACACTTAAAAATAAAACTCATACTGAAGCCGTTAATTACAGACCATAGAAGAAACCTAGTATAAATAAGAAGAAACAGGATTTTAAAAAAAGAGAAAGATGAGGTTCTGCAGTTTTAGCCTCTCCCTTGTATCAGCCAATTTTCTATTACTTGACCAAAATCGACTGGCTGTAAACTACCAATCCTCCAAACTAGCTCAACCAACAACATTGACACCTTTGCAAATTTTAGTGCTCTCCTTGGGTTCCTTACACCTCTTTGTCAGTCTTCGACTCCATCTGTAGGGGCAGGACCGACACAGTGCAGGTTTTCTGATCCAGCAGACCAGGTAAAGGAGGAGTCAGCGTCCTCAGTGGCTTTTGCAGGTCTTTTATTTAGATTTACCAGGCATATGGCAGGCAGGGGCGCTTGGGGGCTGGGAGGCTGGCAGTCCTTCCAGCCCCCAGCAAATCCTCACTCTATCTGGGCTCTCTGGTGTTCTCTCTGCTTCTGCTGGTGTCCCCGTGATGTCGCCCTTAAAAGCCCAGTCTTAGCCCAGATGAATCCCATCTACATATGCCCATACCCTACTCCAGGTGCCCGCCATCAGGCATGCATTCAGAACCGCAGGGTTCCTTCATCTATCCTAAGGGCGGGAGGGCAGAAAAGCCTGATACTTTTTACCTTACCCTACAATCCACCTCCTCAGGGTTTTCTGCCAGACAGTCTATACAAGTCACATATGTTTCTCTTGGTAATAGAGCACTGCAGCCATGGCCCACAAAAAGTAAAACAGTATATACATCACAATAAAACAATACAACAAAATACAACAGAACAAAATAATTCCAGGCAGGGCACCAACCTAGTGGCAAAAGACAACTATTGGCACCAGCAGATAATCCACCAAATCTGTTGCCGAAGGCACTGCTCATACAAGGGAGGGGAACCACTCACGGCATCTACCGTCAGACACCAGGAGCCGCAGACTTCTCTGGCTGTGGTCTCAGCCACAAGTCACACACCACATCCACCCCCAGGATGCACTCACTCTGGGATTGGCAATTCTCTACTGTTGGGGGTAATCGCCAACCCTCAGGGTTTCTATCTTCTTCGGTCGTTCCAACATTCGGCTTTCATAGCCACCAATGTGACACGTAGGCCCCTGCACTCAGGCCAACCCACTGCACAAGCACATGGGTCGGGGATCCAAACTCCACATGCTACCTCTCTTGGGTCCCCTTTTCGGCTTGGGCTCCATCCCAAGCCACGTTCCCCACCTGTCCCCCAAGGACGGGTTCCTCAGCTCCTCACCCTCACTCGACAACAAGCAGGGCATTACCCACAGGTGATTTTACGAGACTCACTGGCCTTCCTCGCTTACTTAGTGCTTAACAGCCACTCAGGGATTCCCAAACTTAGCATCAGCTCCAGCTTTTGCCTTCTCAGTTGGCTTTTCTCCTCTGCCTAGCTGCTGGCCATACACAGGCTGCTTTTGGCCATCAAGGCCTACTGGCCATCCCCAGATTCCCATCTCCTGGGGTGTACAAACAATAGCATTCTCCCCCAGGGTCCCAAAAACTTAACTTGCCTAAGTTCCTCCACCTTCTGGTGGGATTGTCAGTCCAAGTCCATCAGTCCAAGTCCATCAGTCCAAGTCCGTCAGGCCTCTCCCTGCCATCAGCACTGGCGAGCTCCGAATCGTGGTCCTCTCCTCCCCGATGATTCTTGCTGCCTTGGGGGTCGTTGGCTGGTCCTCTTGGGTGTCTCCTCCTCCAGGGGTCTTCTTATCCCGTAGCTCCTATACATTGTCCACCTCCTGTACCGCCATGATGCCTCCAGCGTTGTCACAGGCTCAGTCTGCTACTCCTGAGGTCTTCAGAGGGCTCCATATTCATCTGCATGGATCATCCTGCTGACTTATGCCAATTGTAGGGGAAGAACAGACACAGTGCAGGTTTTCTGATCCAGCAGACCGGGTAAAGGAGGAATCAGAGTCCTCAGTGCTTTTGCAGGTCTTTTATTTAGATTTACCAGGTACACGGCAGGCAGGGGTGCTGGGGGGCCGGGAGGCTGGCAGTCCTCCCAGGCCCCAGCAAATTATCACTCTATCTGGGCTCCCTGGCGTTCTCTCTGCTTCCCTCCTTCTTCTCTCGGCTTCTCTGCTTCTGTTGGCATCTCCGTGATGCCATCCTTAAAAGCCCAGCCTCAGCCCAGGTGAATCCCATCTACCTATGCCCACACCCTACTCCAGGTGCCCGCCATCAGGCATGCATTCAGGACCGCAGAGTTCCGTCATCTATCCTAATGGCAGGAGGGCAGAAAAGCCTGATACTTTTTACCTTACCCTACACCATCATTTAGATTTTTGAGTCAGTGCACTTTCCTCTAAGGCCAAAACCTGGGTTTTTACTTAGATGAACATATCTATTTCCCATTTCCTATTTCTATTTGCTTCTAATTCAGTATATATAATCTTTGCTTTCTAGTAAGAAACACAATAGCCTCCTGCCTCACGTTTGATGACTATGTATAGAAATTGCTTGAAATCTACCTCGGGCTCCAGAGCCTCAACTTCAACTTCTGTGAATTCAATGAAGTCCAGATGCCACAGTTTTTCCTGCTACTTAGGAATTGTCGTATGGACATGAACAAAAGCAGAAAACTTTCTTACCTAAATATTCACTACTAATTTAGCTACTACTAATTTAGCTACTACTACTTAATAAAATTATAATTGTGGATGAATTATCTCAAGCTGCTTCAATTTTAAACACAAGAGTATTTGCCTGCTAAAATATGTCACTAAAACAGCAAACAGATCAGAATGAGGCCATCACTGTGTAAACGTACGTGGTCACCTAACAAGCAGCACTGCAACTAAAAGGCAAGCCCAACATCCTATTATATTCACCATACTTATCCATTCCAACACCCATCCCAACAAGACTGTTGCAATGTACACATGCCTAGCCAATGAGATTTCCAGAATACACAATTGTTAGCTTATCAAATTCTTCTAAATCTTGCATCTTCCATTGTGCTATCCTGGAGAGGTACGTGCACTTCAAAATATAAAACTGAGAACTTCTTAGAGCTACCAAAACAGTGGCGTATCAGTTCAAAATTACAGAAGTCATATATCAACATTAACTCTCCAAATAAAGATGCTGAGAAATATTTTGAAAATGTTGATCATAGGTACTGTTTAAATGATAGCAATCCATGGTGATCTCAGAATCGCTATAAAATTAAGATAAGGAAAGCCCAGCTCTCTTGAAGGAAATTGTTTTAACAACCAATCAAAACTGTCTTTAAAAAAAGTAGGCTGAAATAAAGACTTCAGCTTTCTCCCACATAAAATGCCATGAATTCATTCTGTTTTTGCTCTTTTTATTCAACCAAGGCAGGCTCTTTTTATTCAAACAAGGCCACTGTCTGAGCCATGCTTCTTTAAGTCAACTAAGTCAAATAACTAATTGCCAACAAGCATCAGGTGTTAAATTTGCAGACAAATGCAAAAAAAAAAAAATGCTACAAATTGGCCCCACAAAAAACATGTATTAAGAATCAAATGGTTCTTAAAAGTTCTCATCACCAAAAAAAAAAAAAATGTTAACTATTTATGGTGACAGATGTTAACTAGGCTTATCGTAGTGAGCATTTTACAACTACACAAAAATGGAATTATTATTTTACATATCTGAACTTAACATGTCAATTATACCTCAATTAGAACTGTTAACATAAAAATTCAATTTAGTAGTCCCAGTATCAAGAAACAAATAGGACAAAGATCAAAGATTCCCAAAAGATCAATCTGAAATTATGACAGTTGGCCATCTTCAATTTCAGACACCCATGCAATACTATTCACAAAATGCTACAGTGCAGTGTACTATTTGACACACTTAAAGCAAAATGTCAGGGTAGAAAAAAATAAAAATAAAATAGGTGACTATTCAACAAATGGAAGAAAGTCTGTTTCTGTGAATTCAACTTTGTATTATTACAAATCTATTAAGAACGAGAAGTGAAAAGAACCATATAGTATCCTTTAATGAAATACCATTTTTGAAAAAAAATTCTTTCAAAGTATTTTTAAAACAAGTTGTACATATTTATAACAATGTTACAGTGAAGTTGATATCTTAAATTTCCACTAAAATATCATTATAAAATAGAAGATGCACTACAGGAAATGTTATATTACCATACAATATTATTTTTAGGAAGTCAGTAATGAAGAATAGTGCTGAAGAGTAAAAATGCTGGAAGCAAAAATTATTTTTATGTATTATCATTATAATCTATTAAAACATGTTTGGTGAAAAAAAAGAAAATTTACTAAATATTTAACAGGAGTGTTTGCACTGGCAAACAAGATCACTAGGTGATTTTTCTCCTCTTTCCCAGTGTTTTTGTAATGGTTTTAGGATGGAAGGAGAACTATAAGTAAAAAGATAAATTAGAAATGACATTATTTCTAAAATAATTTCCACAACAAGAAACATAATAAAGCCAGAATATCATCATGGGAATTTAACATGAACGTTAGGTATACATCAAATTCATTCAAGAAAAATAAAGGATAGATTATATTTTTGTATGAAATAAGAACTTTCACTAAGAAGACATCATTTGAAAAAGTATGTGTCAGAAATGAGTAACATAAACGCAACTGAAAATTTTAAGGGGAAAAAAATGAGCTTTTGGACATTTTCAATGCAAAAACAACTCCTTAAAATGTATTATCTTCTAAAGTAGAGTCTGTTAATTCTCTTAAGTCAATTTCCAAGTCAGATCAAAACCCAAAAATCTACTCCAGGGTCCTTTCTAGATTGCAGTATTACTCCCCAAAAACATTAAGGAAAAAGATCTGATGATTTGCACATTTGAAGAGGAAACTGAAGATAACCATTTGAGTTTATCTAGAAAGCCCTCTTGTAAAACCAACTTTAGAATTCAAAATGTTGCCAAGAACTATATTTTTAAATTTTCTATACAGTGGTGTCTCAGAGACATTCCATCACATCTGTCCAAGCTTGCCTTCACCCACAATAAGTCCTAAACCACTGACATTTATATTAAGTTGTTTTAATTATCAAATTATCTCAGGTTATTTTTTTCTATTTTAGGTTTAATCCACCTCTTCTTCATTCCCCGATATCAACTGGAAATAAGCACAGCACATTGCAACCGTGTAATTCAGAACATTCCCATTATAATGATCTTCAAGCAGATAAAATCTGTAACATTTAAGAACAGTAATCTCTGAATTTTACTACCTTCTCAAATACAGGAACGTAGGAAGACATATGAGGTTTGATTATTTCTGCTTCCCAATCTTCATCTCCCATGGTGGCTTCCAGTTCTATTTTGAGAAAAATATAAGCATGTACATTTGACCTTAATTAGGGTCAGAATCATACCTTTAAAAGCATAAACTATCATCACTTCACAAACTTGAAACATCAGGACTAACTACTGCTCTCCCCTAAAAGCTTTTTTTAAAAAAAGCTTTTCAAGTTTTGTTGCTTACCTATAATGACAGCATTTATATCCATCTTTTGAAATTATCTGAATTGCTTTCCCAATCACTCTAGCAATCACCACTGTTGTCCTTGCTGATGTTTTGGTTTTTCCCCCAAAATCTGTTCACAGAATTTCTATGAACTTTCTTCCAAGGGTTCCCAAACACCTTCACTGTACATTACCAGGACTGAAAATTTTTGAGATACTACTCAAAAGAGATCTCCCTTCATATGCTTCCCCTTCAAGGCTACAGAAGATGTTCGTTTGGTGTGGGGTTTGGGGTAGTTTCTTTTGGAGGGGGGAGGGGACAAAGGCCTTGTAGTTGGAAGGGGAAGGGAAGACAGCTCGGGTGGCCCAAGTCACTCCAACCTGGACAACTGGTTTCACCAAGGAGCGTCTGAACACAAACGGTACTACAACCCTCCCTGTTTAAAGTAAAAAAACCACTAAGGAGCTGGACAAAAGACTCCCTCGTCTCCTCTGCAGGCCTCGAGCCCTGATTTCGGGCTCCCACGGGGCTTTAGGAACCTCAGAAGGGAAGCGGAAAAGTCCCAAAGGATTGCTTGAAACCCGCCTCCCTGCCCACTCGGTTCTCCCTTTAGCCCGAAGTCCAGCTACCGGGAAGTTAGAGGGTCTGGCGGGGACCCCTTCTGTGAAGAAAGCCGCTGGCCCTCACCTCTCGGGCTGCTGGCTCTCCCCCGGGTTTTCGCAGGCGTCTAGGCCGCTTAAACGGCTGCACGTGCAGGACGCAGACTGCGTCAGGTGGGCAGCGCCAACTACAAATGACACCAGGGCGGAGCGCCCGCAGCCAATCAGCGCTCAGCGCGCCGGCGTCGTCCCGCCCCCACCTCCAGTTGGTGGGTCGCGACTCCCTCACATTCTCACGCAGGGGCCCGTTGGGCCTCTGGGTACAAGGCTGCTGTGGGTCCCTTGACTCTAGATTCTTGCGTGAGGTCTTCAGTCTGGCGAAGCTCCAGATTTTCCCAAGCTCTGCAAGCCAAACATTGTCCATGTGACTTTTTCTAACTACAAAAAGGGAAAGAAGGGCAATACCCTTCCATCTACCCTTTTCCTTGCCCACCGCAGTCCCCGGCGGTTGGCCTTGTGGTGCTGTAGTTGCGAGGCGCTCGCTTCACATCTGGGGATTCTCAAGCGCTTTGACGTGGGACTGAGGCGGGTGGAGCTGGTTTATTTACTTTTTCCCCCAGCCAGGGCAGGGATGGAACTGTTGTTACCTTGGTACCCAAGAAGTTGTAATGGAAGTTGTCCCGTCTCATAGAATGGGGAATCCAACTCTTTGGGAAGGAAAAGGCACTCTGATTCAGAAGGAAAAAGGAGTTTGCTGGTATTGGATTTGTGGTCTTTTTTTTTTTTTTTTAATAATAAATTTTATTTTTATATTCCCCATACAATTGCAACCCCCCCATTTTGATCCCAATTCCTCCCCTCCCCGCCCCCCACCCCCCACAGAGTGTCTCTGGTTCATAGTTGATTGTTGATTTTGATTTTCACTTTCTTATAGTTATTCATTTTCCTGGTCCCTTATTTAAGTTTTCTAGATTCCTGCTATGAGTGAGACCATCCGGTATTTTTCTTTTTCTTTCTGGCTTATTTCGCTGAGCATGATCCCTTCCAGCGCCATCCATGTTGCTGCAAATTGCATGTGTTTATCTTTTTTGAATGCTGAGTAATTTTCCATGGTGTATATGTACCACATCTTCTTGATCCAGTCATCTATTTTTGGGCATTTGGGCTGTTTCCAAAGCTTAGCAATTGTAAACAGTGCTGCTATAAACATGTGGTCTGCTTTTTTATGTCCCTTAGGGGTACTAGCCAAGCAAAAGTGTGATAGAGGGACATTTAGTGCAATGCTGTACTTAATCATCAACCTGGTATTCTTGTGTACTCTTCCCGCCACCCCAGAAAAATTCCTTCTGTATTTCCCCCCATCCTCCAAAAAAGCATAGTAACTGACTGCTTTGAAGTATAGTTTTCTTTTTTGGTTTTATTTTATTTTATTTCATTCAGGGATATAAATCCCAAATATAGTCTTACACTTAGGCATAAAGAATGAGGCACTTTATGGGCTCAGCTTCATCCTTTTCATCTCTAGAATCACTGCTTTTGTCTTTTTCACCAAAAATTTATGTCAGAATTTATCTAGTTAGCACTAAGTTTTGTCAGACTTTTATCAAGGTGTATTGTTTTTTAAAAGTTATACTAAACAAAGTTCAAACCAAAATATATTTTAACAAAACTGTCATCTTTAGTAATTTCCATTTTAAAACCAAATTGTTACATAATACCCCTGATGCAGCTATTACCTTAAATCATGGTATATTATGGGGGAAAGCTACCCTTTCTGTCACTCTTAATTTGTATACAGGATCATCTGAGGTATTTTAACTTACATTGACTTGACAGTTCTTTCAAAATTTTTGTAATGAAAAAATATTCAGTGAAAAGAGCAAAATGTGAAATAGAATGATAACCAGGTAAGGTTTTTTAAAGTATGGATGATTTGGAGTTATTTTCTAAAATGAACATTTTCATAACACTTAACATTCTTTGCTGTTGACTCAAATATGTTGTAATAAAAGTCTATAGTTAAGACTTCACATTTTAGAAAGAGGCACTGTAAAAACTACTACTGTACTGCTAAGGGAATAGATCTTAAAAGTTCTCATCACAGGGGGGAAAATATAACTATGCAGGGTGATGGATATTAACTAGACTTACTGTGGTGATCATTTCTCAATATATGTACATGTGTATATATTTTATATGTAATATGTATATTGGAACAACTGATGGAATTTGATTAAGGTCTGTGGATTCAATCAGAGTATTTTATCAATAAAAATGTTCTAATTTGGTAATTGTACTGTGAACATTTTTGTTCCTTGGAAATATGCACAGAAGAATTTAAAAGCAGACATATATTGTCTACAACATAGTCCTAGATCATTTAAGAAAAAACAGGGTTTGGGGAGAGTAAAGGAATTGAGGGGAGGGAAGAAGCAAGAGAATTTAAAGCAAATACGGCAAAAATGTTAACAATTAGTAATTCTGAGTGAAGAAAATATGAGTTCTTTGCACTGTTTGCAAATTTTTTATAATTTAAAATTTTAAAATATCTTCAAAGGATAGAGGTATATTAAGTATATTTTTAGGGCCTCCCTGGTGGCGCAAGGGGTTTAAGATGCAACATATCCACATCCCCCAGCTGCGAGGGAGCAACCCACATGGCTCAACAGACCTCTTCTTTCTTGCCCGCTGCTCCCCTCAGCAGTGTGCGTCCGTCAATCTGCCTGTTCTATTCCCCACTCTGTCTCTGGTGAATCCTCTCAGCCCCCACAGCTCTGGTCTGTACCCCAGTTCTTATGTGCATAAATAAATAAATCTTTTTTAAAAAGTGTATTTTTAAATTTGTGGGTTCATAATGATACCAAAAAAAAGATAAATAAACAACCAAAACCCACAACAAAATCTTCAGGCAACTAACTCTTTTTGAAAACTGGTAAAAATAAATATGCAACAGTTCATACTGCATTTCCTACACATACTTTACCCCTTGGTGTAACCAAACTGTCAAGGTAAAATTCCTCCTTTTGAAAGAATTCTAGCCAATAAAAGGGACTCTCCACTCTGTACCCTCTAGATCAGGGTTCAGGAAACTATAATCTGACAAATAATACCCTAGTATCTGTTTCTACAAATAAATTGGAATAACACTACCCCATTTTATACATATTGTCTGTGTTGGCTATATTTATAACATAAAGGCAGAATTGAGTAGTATTTGAAAGAGACCATATGGCTGCAAAGAAGAAAATATTTACTATTGGATTCTATACAGATAAAATGTGCTAATCCTTGCCATGGCCCAGGAATATAGCAAGTTCTCAAATAACGTAGCTCAGCTATAATGTTGATGAGTGGGGAAATGACTCATTCCCAGATGGGGTCACTGTCTATGTGGAGTTTATATTTTCTCCCCATAATGGTATGGGCTTTCTCTGTATTTTGTTACACATCATTTTACTTAAAGTTGCAATTTCCAAGAACCTATCTACAACACTAATTAAGGACTCACTAGTATGACTGGTGATTTGCCACTCCAGAACTATGACAGCACCACAGGAACTCAAAGAGACACTGCGAGTTTTTTAAAATTTTGAGGAAAATTTTTATCAGACACCATATCAACTACGAGCTTGAGAAAACCATGGTTTTAATATTAGATGAAGTTAATTCTCTTGGATAGCATCATATATGCAAATTGATTCTTTAGGGGTTGCTATCCTCTCCAGCGCTACACAACCCAGTGTGGAATAGCAAATAAGGATAGTGGTATCCCAATCTGATGTCTATATTTGAGAAGCCAGTGAATGCCCAACTGGTAGACACAGTCTATTACTAATTGTGGTTATTTATGAATAAAAGTAGTTTTCAGGGCCTCCCTGGTGGCGCAAGGGGTTAAGCACCGCACTATGAAGCAATTCACAGCCTCTGCAGCACAAGTTCGATCCCCAGTCAGCCAGGAAGAAATCCACATGGCACAGCAGACCTCTCCTGTCTCGCCCGCTGCTCCCCTCAGCAGTGTATTTCGGTCAGTCTGCCTGTTCTGTTCCCCCTTCTGTCTCTGCTAGAGCCCTCTCACCCGCCACTCCTGCATCTCTGGCTTGTGTCCCGGCTCTTGTATGCATAAATAAATAAATCTTTTAAAAAAATAGTTTTCAAGTTAGCATATTCTTTTAAATGACTACAAAGTTGTTAATACATAAATGTTTTGACTTGTTTAGACCTAGCCTTTTAGTAAACAGAGTATTGAGAAAAAGATTACTCACATTCCGTGGAGCCATGAGCCTTTGATCTATCAGGTAATCAAGAAAAAGATTGCTGATCTTCAATAGCTGGTGAAAAGCTGAAAAGGAACTTTGCAACAGACAGTATTTGAACTCACTGAATAGCCTATATGTTACTATAATTTAATATTACTTAATGGTACCTATAGTGCCAGGATGGGCCACGGAGCAGGTTTCCTAACCCAGCAGACCGGGTAAAGGATAATCCTGGAGCCCTCGGTGGGTTTCTCAGGCTTTTATTAAGCTTTTACATGTAGTGCAGCAACCAAGTACATGGCAGGCAGGGGTGGCCCCAGGGCCAGGAGGCCAAGAGGCCTCCAAGCCCCCATCAAGTCTTCACTCTGGGTTTCTCTGGCTTCTCTCTCTTCTCTCTCCTGCTGCTTCTCCTCTTGGTGACTAACTCAATACTCCTCCCATGGCCCACAGAAATAAACAAAGCAGCAATGTGACAACTGCAGGTGCCCCATCAAGCAGGGCAATCCTAATGGTGGGAGGGCAGAAAAGCCTGAAAAACCATTTACCTTATTATGGTACCTCCAGAAATAATGTGCTTCCTGATGTGATTCAATGGGAAGTACAAAACACCACCTATAAAGTCTTAATTTTAAGAAATCAAGTTTGAATATGATCAAGCTTCTGAACTACCAGTCTACTAATACTATATAATTTGTATGCTTTGTTGTGTGGTCACTGAAGTCTCTCTGCTCATTACCCATTAAGTTAATTCAGCTAATGATTTAAGAGATATCCTTTATTTAATGCCCCATCACAAAAAGAAAAAAAAATTAATGCACACACACACACACACACAAATTTCTCCCAGTCTGCCTATCAATTATGCATTGGGGTGTTCTTTCAATGCTTAGCCAGTGAAGGCAATGCCTTAGCCCTCTCTTCCTCCTTGCAC